CCATTTACATGTAGTGTTGTTATTGAAATATATGGGTTTAGAGTCATTGTGTCCTTTGTGGGATTCATGCTTGTCTCTAGTATCTTGCGTTCCTTGCAACATTTCCCTCAGAGTCCCCCTCAGGATTTCTTGTGGGGCTGGTTTAGTGGTGACGAATTCTTTCAATTTTTGTTCATTTGGAAAGACTTTTATCTCTCCTTCTATTCTGAATGACAGGCTTCCTGGATAGAGGATTCTTGGCTGCATATTTTTTCTGTTCATCACATTGAAGATTTCCTGCCATTCCTTTCTGGTCTGCCAGGTTTCAGTAGATAGGTCTGTCACCACTCTGATAGGTTTCCCTTTGTATGTTAGGGCCCTTTTCTCCCTAGCTGCTTTCAAAATTCTCTCTTTGTCCTTATATTTTGCCAATTTCACTATGATATGTCGTGCAGAAGATCGATTCAAGTTACGTCTGAGGGGAGTTCTCTGTGTCTCTTGAATTTCAACTTCTACTTCCCTCTCCAGGTTAGGGAAGTTCTCTGCTATACTTTGTTCCAGGACTCCTTCAGCACCTTTCCCTCTCTCTTCCTCTTCTGGGATTCCTATGATACAGATATTGTTCCGTTTGATTGTATCGCTGAGCACTTGAACTCTTCTTTCATGATTGTGATCAGTTTATCTCTCTTTTTCTCAGCTTCCTCTTTTTCTATAATTGTGTCTTCTAAATCACTTATTCTCCTTTCTGCCTCTTGAGTCCGTGCATTGGATGCCTCCATTTTATTTTGCATCTCATTTATAGCATTTTTTAATTAATCACAACTATTTTTAAATTTTTTAAAATGTTTTATTTATTTCTAGGAGAGAGAGAGAGAGACAGCTTGAGCAGGGGAGGGTCAGAAAGAGAGGGAGTCTGTGACTCAGGCTCCAGGCTCTGAGCTGGCAGTCAGCACAGAGCCCGACGCGGGGCTCGAACCCACGAACCACGAGATCATGACCTAAGCGAAAGTCGGACGCTTAACCGACTAAGCCACCCAGGCGCCCCTAATCACAACTATTTTTAAGCTCCATAGTCTTTGTAGCAGTAGTTTCTCTGATGTCTTCCATGACTTTCTCAAGCCCAGCGATTAATTTTATGACTATTGTTCTAAATTCTTGTTCAGTTATTTTGCTTATTAATATTTTGAGCAGTTCTTTAGCTATCAATTCTTCCTGGAATTTCTTTGGAGGAGAGTTCTTCTGTTTCATCATTTTGATTAGCTTTCTATCTCTTGTTAGTAAAAGCTTGTTATGTACTCTCCTGTGAGTGCTGCTGTACCAAAGAAGGCCCTGACTGTCCAGGGCCTGTCTGTTCAGAAAGTGTTCTTTGAATGGTGTCTCTTGGTCTCTCTTATTGAGACCTTGGTTATTTTATTTTCCTACTCATAGTGGTATTTGGGACTCTCTACCATGTGTACTTTGGCTTGTTTCTTGAGGTAGCTGCTATAAAGTTTTCTCAGCGGAATCTGTCTCCTTTTCCTCCCAAACTCCTGGATTCTGTAAGGGTTCCTATGACTACAGGCCTTCTCTGTTTGAGAGATGGGGGTGAGTGAAATGTACAGAACTCCCTACTTCTCCGCCATCTTGCCTCCTTCCCAGTTGTGACTCTTAAGAGTTAACCTTATGGACTTTCTTCTTTCTGATGGAACATTTCTTTCTTTCTTTTTTTTTTTTTTTAGAAATTTAAAAAAAAATTTTATGTTTTATTTATTTCTGAGAGAGGGAGAGAGGCAGCATGAACAGGGGAAGGTCAGAGAGAGAGGGAGACACAGAATCTGAAACAGGCTCCAGGCTCTGAGCTAGCTGCCAACACAGAGCTCGACACGGGGCTCAAACCCACGAACCATGAGATCATGACCCGAGCCGAAGTTGGACGCCCAACTGACTGAGCCACCCAGTTGCCCCTGATGGAACATTTCTACAATCTGTATTCTATAACAGTTCTATATTGTGGTGATGGTTACATAAATCTAGACATGTGATACAATTTCACAGAACTATATAAGAAAAGGAGAAATCTGTAAAACAGAATGGAAAAATCCTAATAATCTTAATACCCAAGTGAATAGTGCTGCCTCATCAATTTCCTGGGTTTGACAATTGATGCACTAAGATTATATAAAGCTGTTGTTATTGGGGAAAGCTAAACTCACTTCTTGTGAGTCAAACTATTTCAAAAAATTCTTTTTAAGATATAATTATAACTATTTTTTTGAAATAGCACTGCATATTATTTGGAAACCAACTTGACAATAAACTGTTTGTAAAAAGAAAAAATTCTTTAACATTTTCCCATTGTACTAAGAGTAAAATCCAAAATATTTTCCATACCTACAATGCTTAGCACGATGTAGCCTCTAGCTTTTATCTAACTTTTTCCTGTACTATTTTCTCTCTTACTACTTTCTAGCCCTTATCTCTCTTTCAATTCTTCAAACATAGTAATCCCTCTCCCACCTCAGAGCCTTTGTAACTCGTGTTCATTCTATCTGGAATGCTCCTCTCACAGTTGCATTGTGAAAACTATACTCTCTTCTGAGTTGTGAGATTTTTTTCTCCCTTATTTGTTCAACAAATACTTACAAATACAGGTTTAGGAGGCAGAGCCTCAAGGCAGCACTGCAGTTTTAGACATATTGGCTTGAAGTGTTCGTAAGACAAACAAAATCATTGTTAAGAATCAAGTTAGATACATTGATATTGAACTAGATATAAAATTTGGGATCGGGACCATACAATTTGAGCAGTTTTATGGGAACAGAATGATACTTGAAGTCATGTGATTGAATAAGATTACCTAGGAAGAGAATGTACTATGAGAAGTGTACTGGAAGGAAGAGACCAAGCTCTGGGGAGCTACAATGGAGCAAGGAGCAAATGGTATCATGGAAGCCAAGTAAGAGGGTGTTTCAAATAGTCCAATGTATCAAATGCTGCTGAAAACTCAGATGAAATGAACAAAACCTATATTAAGTTTCAAAATGTGTAAAGCCATATACTGATGTTATAACTAGAAAAATACTTTAAAAAACAATAATACTAAGCTTGAGATCACCATAGGGAAATTTGTCACAGATTCCTCATAGTAAAATAAACTGGCATGGTCCTTTTAGAAATAGTTTCAATAATATGTATCAAGAATGTTTAAAGTATTCATAGCTTGTGACCCAGTAATCTCGTTTCCCAGAATCTCATCAAAAGAAATAGTCCTAACTGTGGAAAAGACTGTACATCTGATGATATCCATGGTAATAATATTTATAATAGTGAAAGAATAAAGTTACCAAATGTCCAATAGGGGAGTGTTAAATCAATGTGGACAATTCACTCAGTGGAATATCGTGCTATCATTAAAAATGATGATTATAGGGGTGCCTGGGTAGCTCAGTCGGTTAAGCGTCTGACCGCAGCTCAGGTCATGATCTCACGGTTGGTGGGTTCGAGCCCGGTGTCGGGCTCTGTGCTGATAGCCAGCTCAGAGCCTGGAGCCTGTTTCAGATTCTGTGTCACCCTCTCTCTCTGTCCCTCCCCTGCTCACACTGCCTCTCTCTCTCTCTCTCAGAAATAAATAAAAACATAAAAAAAAAATTTTAATGTTTATATAGACTTCCAGTTAAACAACATGGATACATAATAGTAGACCTCATTTGGTAAATTCTAGGAAATATAATAAAAATTTTTAATATTTTTATAATTGCTGTGTGTTAATTTTTGCCATATTTATAAAATAATCCTTAATGACCATGAATTATATATTCTTAATGAAAAAAATGTTTTAAGCTTGTTTGCATGATTGTCTTAACTTTTTCTTCACCTATCCTTTTTTATATTATTTTTTATTTTTAATCCTATCTTATTCTATGCTACGTTTATTTATTCCCTTTGCAGTTATATGAAAGACAGTTGTATTTAAAAGTCTGAATAGTGAATATAATTTTCAGGAATAAAATTTAAAATATCCATTATTTATTATTTACCAAGCAACCTATATTTCTCCATCAAAAATCAATAAATGTGTATGCTTCAGAGGTTCTTACCTAACCACATTCACTCTGAAAATTAGATTAAATCCTATTATATAATCCCATAGTCCCAATGAATACACCCTGACACTCATCATAGCAATCTCAAAGGCTTCTTTGCTGGTGGTTGACATTTCTAGGAAGTTAACTGGAGCATTATTGAAGGATTAGGGCAGAAGGAAGCCATGGAATATTTGGACTGGCTCTCATCTGACATTTTATTTTAGGGATTCCCCATAATGAAAACATCACCTCTATTCCAAAAATACCTATTAGGAAAAATTCCAGGCTGTTCAGCTTCTCCTTAAATCTCATTAGAAAAAGAGGAAGCATATCAGATCTACTGTTATACTAAGAGAAGTTTGGTTAAAGCCTCCAGATATCATCTGAAACCTACCTTGAAAGAAGATGTTGTTTTGAAGTCAGATTCATATAGAAATAATTCTGACATAATTTGGGGAGCTTGGGTGGCTCAGTCAGTTAAGCATTTGTCTTCACTCAGGTCATGATCTCACAGTTCATGGTTTCGAGCCCTCCATCGGGCTCTGTGCTGACAGCTCAGAGCCTGGAGCCTGCTTCCTATTCTGTGTCTCCCTCTCTCTCTGCCCCTCCCCTTCCTGTGCTCTGTCTCTCTCTCTCTCAAAAATGAATAGACATTTTTAAAAAATTAAGATGTAATTTATTTAAAGGTCCCCATAATGTCAATTCATTCAAGAATCTGATTATGTATATTATTTTCAACATGTTGGAAAAGGTATTATAACTTCTTTTTAATTCATGAAGTTCAATGGGGGAGGAAGTCCTACGGTAGAAAAAACCTGATCTTAAAAATGTGGTAAATCTATAAATACAAATAATGTCTTAGCTAAGACAACAAATTCAATACATCATGATATAATTTCAGAATAATTTTGTCTATGGAAAGTAAAAAGAGGATTTTTTGTTTTTGTTTTTTTACAGAATTCCAAAATACTTAGCAAGGAGCTGGCCACTTTAGGACAGAAGCCTGTCATATTTACAAGTCTGAAGAAAAGATTTTATTATCCAGATAGCAAAATGAAGAATGGGTATTTAATTTTAAACTTCATATATAAATTTCATTTTTTTAATTTTGTAAAATAACTATCAGAAATTCAAAGCAAAAGAAATTTTAAAAACCTAGTGAAATTCCATGGAATATCTTATATGTAGTTGCCAAGTGGCTTCTTTCATGATACACACAAAAAATTGCAATAATCAGAGCTAGGTACCAACTTAGAAAATGCTAGTCACACTTCTTGATTATAGTTTTATCATTTCATATTAATAGCTAAACTTCAGTCCAAATGCCTTATTCAGGATGTTGGCAAATCCTGGCAATATCTCAAAACATTTCCTGGCAGTTCAGAAAAGTGAACCACAGTGCTTTAACTGATGCTGAAATTATTACCAGCATCAGTACCCATATACACAACAATTGTTCCTTGGTTCAGGAGACAAGGAAGGAAATAGACATTATGATAGAGGTGAACCCAGGTGAAATAGAAAAGAGGGTGCACAAAACAAGGCTTGGATAAAAGGGAATCAAGGAGGACTTCCCTAAAGAGATAAAACCCACATTATTGAAAAGAAATAAAAGTCAATTGGGAGAACATTCCAGAGAGGCGACGTACACAAGGGCCTCCGAGCAGAGACCTGAGAAAGCAGAAAGCAATGCATTTCAGGAGATGCAAAGAAGTTGAACTCGTGAGTAAAGTCAAGGGTGACATTCAGAGAAGATACTTTTTTAAACATCTTAATAGCCTGGGGCTAAAATTCCTGCTGATTTTATAAAACTCTGGGAGTTGGGAGAACTCTGGGAGTCATTATAAAACCAGTTAAAGGGTTGTCTGATTTAGCAGGTAGGTAGGAAATTATAGGTACGGTTTGTTTCTGTTAAGAGGAGACATAGTTGCCTTCTTCTTAGGAGGAACGGATCTAGTTCTCACCATTAAGTGTTTTGCATGGTTTTTTGTAGATGCTCCTTTATCAAGATGAGGAAGTTCCCCTCCGTTGCTTGCTTAGCTGAGCGTGTTCATCATCAGTGGGTGTGAGATTTTTGTCAAATGCTTTTTCTGCATCTACTGATGTGATTATATACTTTTTCATTTTTAACCTATTGATGTGATGGATTACATTAATTGATTTTTAATGTTGAACCAGACTTGCATAAGTGGAATAAATCCCATTTGGTCGTGGTATATAATTCTTTTTACACATCGTTGAATTCAAAGGATCTGTAACTTTTCCCGTAATGTCTTTATCTGATATTGGTATTAGGGTATCTGGCTTTCTCTATTGTTCTTCTGTTTTCAATTTACTGATTTCCATTGCAATGTTTTTCTTCTGGTTCCTCTAGGTTTATATTGCTTTTTTCCCCTCTAGTTTTCTAAGGTGGAAGCTTAGAGTATTGAGTTTAGGTCTTTCTTCTTTTCTAAATATGCATTTAATACCATACATTTCCCTCTAAGCCTTTCTTTCCCTGAAGCCCCCAAAGTTTGGTAAGTTGTATTTTTTCATTTGTTCAAAACATTTTTTCATTTTCATTTTGTTCAAAATATTTTTAAATTTCCATTCAGATTTCTTCCTTGACTTATGTGTTATTTAGAAGTGTTTAATCTCCAAACATCAGGGATTTTTTTCCAGCTATCTTTCTGTTATTTAATTCTAGCTTAATTATATAGTATTTTGAGAGCATACTTTGTATAATTTCTATTTTTTTAAATTTCTTAAGGTGTGTTTTGTGACCCAAGATATGGTGTGTTATGGTGAATGTTCTATGAGAGCTTGAGAAGAATGTATATTCTTCTGTTGTTGGATGAGACATTCTTTATACGTCAATTAGATCCACTTGATTGATGATGCTGTTCGGTTTAATTATGTCCTTACTAATTTCCTGCCTGCTGCATCTATCAATTACTGAAAGAGGAGGATTTTTTAAAGTATTTATTTATTTTTGAGAAGAAGAGACAGAGTGTGAGTGGAAGAGGGGCAGAGAAAGATGGAGACACAAAATCGGAAGCAAGCTCTGAGCTGTTAGCACAGAGCTCAAGGTGGGGGCTCAAAACTAATTTTTAAAAAGCACGGGAATGTAAACACAAACGCAAACACAAAATCAGGCAAGTGATTACGTGTAAGCAGGTAAGGGTGGAGGAAGGAGAGACATAGGGCATTTCTAAAATATGGGTAATGTTCTGATTCTTGATCTAGGTGATTAATATACAGGTGTTCACCTTAGTATTATTCTTTAAATGTACGTGTATCATATATTCTTTTGTATATATGATACAGTCATAATAAAATTATCAAATAAGTGGTGTTTTTTAAAAACTTTCTTAACGTTTATTCATTTTTGAGAGACAGAGACACAGCATGAATGGGGGAGGGGCAGAAAGAGAGGGAGACACAGAATCTGAAGCCGGCTTCTAGGCTCTGAGCTAGCTGTCAGCACAGAGCCCGAGTAGGGCTCCAACTCAGGAACCCTGAGATCATGACCTCAGCTGAAGTCGAATGCTTAACTGACTGAGCCACCCAGGAGCTCCCTAAGTAAGTGGTGTTTTTAAAGAAACATAAAGAAAATACGTATAAAGAGAGAATATCAGAGGTTCATTAAAAAAGATTGCCTTGGATGCCATAAAATACCATCCACATGATTGACTAATCAGGGTTTAGAAAAGTTAACCTTATAAAATATACATCTTGTAGTAAAACAAGAAAGCAAAATGGAAGAGATAGTTTTGTGCAGTAAAAGACAGTAGGACATAAAGACAGGAAGATGGAAGAAGCACTCCCAATGGAGATTAAGAGCATAAACAGTTCTGATAGGCAAACAGGAAGAACATACCCGAAATTTAATATGGCAAGTGAAATCGAATAGGAAAAAATATGGAGATTCTCTGAAAATCATTTGGAGTAGCTTGAATTTTTTCCTGGATATAATTAAGGGGCCACTGATGTTTCTAAGCAGAACATCACTTAATGAAATTCAGTTTAAAGGAGATAAATTACAACATAGCAGATTAAATGCATTTGTTTATCTCCACTCTCTCCCATAATCTCGCTAAGAAAGTTGGCAAGCCTCTCAGGAGAAGCAATAGGAAGGGAAGCAAGAAGGTAGAAAGCAGAGAGAGAAATGGTAACCGACTTAGTAGAGCATGAATTGTAGTCGTTAAGAGCTCGCAGAGGGAATTCTAAAGTGATGGGGAACCCCCCCCCCCGCCAGCCCAGCATGCCTTCAGTTCTTTCCTCCTGCTCTGCTCCCTAAATATGGAAACCTAGCAAATATCCTGGCAAAAGAGAAGAGCATTTTTCTTTGAACTGACCAGACCTACTTAAAATAAGTTAAATTGGAGTCAGAAGGGAAAAAGCACAATAGAGCACATGGTGAGCAAGAAGTATCCCTCAGAGCTGACCCACACACAACTTGTTATGACTTCTCTTTAAATATTAGACAACCAAAGACTACCAGAGAATAACAGATTCCAACATGAATGTCAGACACCTGAATCAATAAAAAGAACAGTAGAACTCAGAGGAAACAACACATAGAGGGAGCCAAAGAAAAGCTCACAAAAAAGTATAAAATCTTCAGAGAAATAGAAAATATTATATACATAAAAGAAAATTAAGGTGTTATAAAATGGGAAAGAAGTAACAAAAGAATTTTGAAAAGTGTATAATCACCATTCAGAATTCAAACATTGGAAAACAAAATGGTAGACACGGAAAGTTGAAGCTGTGGTTCATCTATACAATGGAAGACTACTTGGCAATGAGAAGGAATGAAATGCTGCCATTTGCAACAACGTAGATGGAACTGGAGGGTATTATGCTGAGTGAAATAAGTCAGAGAAAGACAGGTTTCATATGTTTTCATTCATACGTGGAACTTGAGAAATTTAATGGAGAACCATGAGGGAAGGAAAGGAGAAAACGTAGTTTCAAACAGAGAGGGAGGCAAACTATAAGAGATTCTTGAGGAGAACAAACTGAGGGTTGATGAGGGGATGGGGGAGGGTGGGTAACGGGCATTGAGGAGGGCACTTGTTGGGATAAGCACTGGGTGTTATATGGAAGCTATACATAATATATATAAGGGAATCTACCCCCAAAACACCATGAGCACACTGTATACACTGTATGTTAGCAAACTTGACAATAAATTATATATAAAAGAAAGAAAGAAAGAAAATAGTTAGGAAAAAAATTGAAATGCTCAGTATGCTTTAGCCAGGCCTTGTAGATAAGAAGTTATCCATTCAAACAAAATAGTCATTGATACCTAGTTATAAGAGGGCTATACCCATATGAGCTTATTATATAGCCAGTGGACAATGTAACAAAATGGTACTGATGGCTTTTTTTATATTTGTTTATTTATTTTGAGAGAGAGAAAAAGCGGGGAAGGGGCAAAGAGAGAGGGAGAGAGAATCCCAAGCAGGCTCTGCACTGTTAGCGCAGAGCCTGAGGTAGGACTTGAACTCACAAACCATGAGATCACAACCTGAGCTGAAATCAAGAGTCAGATACTTAACTAACTGAGCCACCCATGCACCCCATGATGATTTTAGAGATTGTACTTATGGGGCACCTGGGTGGCTCAGTCGGTTTAAGCAGCAACTTGGGCTCAGGTCGTGATCTCACAGTTCGTGGGTTCAAGCCCCACGTCAGGCTCCGTGCTGACAGCTCCTGTGTCTTCCGATCCTGTGTCTCCTCTCTCTGCCCCTCCCCCGCTCGCGCTCTGTCTCTCTCTATCAAAAATAAAATAAACATGAAAAATTAAAAAAAAGAAATTGTACTTGACACTGATGTTACAGTGTCAGTAGTGTGGCTTGCAAAAAACAATAATTGCTTCGAATGTCATGGCAGCATAGTGATTTGCTGATGACCCTACAAGTGCCCCAACATGGGGTGCCTTGACCTGCCAGGATCACATTCCTAGTGGGCAGAATGCCATCACCCAGGTATATAGTCACTGAGGAAATAGAAAACTTAAGAGGTGCTCACTGAACATCTATAACCTGATGTATCCTGGATTGCCCTGCTAAGAAACTCTCCTTGGAATTTTTCATAACTTCCAAGATACATGGTAGAATGTTTGTTTCCCCAAATTCCTCTGCATGTCCACTCAAAAGATAGCCCTGTCAAATCTTAGAATACTAAGAAAAAAAAAAGGGAAGTACCTAAAAACATAAAGGCAACCCATTTAAATAATTGTGGGAATCAATGTTTCATCTGGCTTTTTCATTAGTAAACTTTCATACAAAAAGATTGGAGAAGATGCCCTCAGAGTTCTGAAGTCTCCACCTAGCTAATTTATCCAGCAGGTGTGTAAACTATTTTCAGATATTCGGGGTCTCAAAAATTTATGTTCATGTATACTTTCACAGAGGGGTACTGAAGAATGTGCTTTAGCCAAACCAGAAAGATCGAAGCTCTGGACTGAGTACATGGTGGCTTCAGCCCAGAGAGTAATGACTACTACTTAGTAGATGACCTCTGTCTTTACCACATAGAAAATATTATGAAGCAGCATTTCACCTACTGGCACACTTAGGAAACAACAAATTTTTAAAAACCAAATTATTAACTCTAGGAGAAGGATTATGAATATATATGTATGTAGGTGAAAATGTAATTTTGGTACAATAACTGGGTCAGTAGTAAACAATATTTACATAATAAAACAATGTAAACCCTATAGATTTAGCTAAACACCGTGATGTTGGGGAAGAAGAGATGTATGGGTAGTTATATTTTATGAGCAATACATCTTCATCTGTCATATAAGAAGCCAATAGATAATGTGTAAAAAGTATATATTAAGAGAGAAGCATAAGAACATTTGAGAATTTGGAGACACAATGCAAATGAAAGAGCTGTAAGAGTCCAGATTGTTTTCCTTTGGGAACAAGAGTGAAGAATGTGGAAAAATGGGGTGGAGGTAGCATTTTAGTGTGATTTGATTTGTTTAACTCAGATTTATTTTGATAAAAATAAAATTTTTTTCAAGATGATATATGTCAGTAATATACAAACTGGATGAGAAGAGAGAGGCCATTAAATGTTTATATTTTCTACATTTATAATTTCTATATTTAAGTTTTATATGTGTATAATATCTTTTCTAATTCATTTTTATATTATCATATTATTAATTTTCATATTTTTTTCTTCTTAGGACCTGGCATATTGCATTACCAATGTCAGTAGACGATGTGCTAAAGGAAGTTAAAGGAAATCAAGTGGCTTTTCAAGACTGCTTTATTGCAGATGTTATTTTCCTGCTGTCCTTCCCTTTGTTGACCATGCCCGATATTCCTGGCTTTTTGCCAATCACTACACCACAAGGTAGTCCGTTAATAGCATCCCAGATGTCTTGTGTTCCTTCATCGGTTGTGGTGGTAGCTGATATGGAGACCTTTCAAACAAATGATTCATTCCGCACTTGGACCAGAATCAGAGTGCCTCCAAACATTTTGACTGACGATGAGAGACACAACGTTTCTGATGTGTACGTATCATGGGATGGAATATTTTTTCTCATAAACAGTGTTCTTTACATCAGAACTTTTATTGCGTTCAGAAGACTGGGAAGAGATGAAAATCTTCCCGATAATGGAATTAGTGGCGCTACAATAAGAAAATGGTGTTGGGTCAAATATCTAATAAAGGTTAGTAAAAGATTTATATACGTATATTAGACTTACACATTTAGACAAATATACTATATCGTTTAATTCCATGATAGAAAAGAGACTATACTATACAAATTTTGCAAAGCTGTTTTATTTTGGGTGGTAAATAAATCCATCTTTGTAACCTTAGAGATGCATTTCCAACAACAAAGAATTAAATAAATCTTGGTTGTTATTATTATGCAGAGTCATTTAGTCATATTATAAGAGTTTTGTTTTGCCCTGAAATGGGCAAAAGATCCCAAAAATTATTTTACCCAAAGATACTATGTGCTCTCAAAAATGGATTAACTTTTCCTTTTGACAATATAGTGAATAAAATATTTCAGCCATTCTGACACGTGTGAGTTGATATCTCATTGTAGTTTTGATTTGCATTCCCCCAATGATGAGTGACGTTGAGCATCTTTTCATGTGTCTGTTGGCCATCTGGATGTCTTCTTTGGAGAAGTGTTCATTTCTTCTGCCCATCTCTTAAGTGGGTTATTTGATTTTTGGGTGTTGAGTTGTATAAGTTCTTTATAGATTTTGGATACTAACAATTTATGAGATGTGTCGTTTCCAAGTATCCTCTCCCATTCCATAGGTTGTCTTCTACTTTTCTTGATGGTTTCCTTTGCTGTGTAGAGGTTTTTCTTTTAATGAAGTCTCAGTAGATTATTTTTGCTTTTGTTTCTTTTGCCTTAAGAGACCAATCTAGTAAGAAGTTGCTACTGCGATATAAAAGAGGTTACTGCCTGTGTTCTCCTCTAAGATTTTAGTGGTTTCCTGTTTCACATTTGGGCCCTTAATCCATTTTGAACTTATTTTTGTGTATGGTGTAAGAAAGTGGTCCAGGTTCATTCTTCTGCATATCACTCTCCAGTTTTCTCAACACCATTTGGTGAAGAGACTGTGTTTTTTCCATTGGATATTCTTTCCTGCTTTGTCAAAGTTTAATAGTCCGTATCATTTTGGATTAATTTCTGGATTTTCTATTCTGTTCCACTGATGTATGTCTGTTTTTGTGCTTGTACCATACTGTCTTGATTACTATAGTTTTGTAATATATTTTGAAGAAAGGACAAATTTTAAAAACTAATTAGAAAGTGTTTTGAACTATGGGCATCTGGGTTACTCAGTTAGTTAAGCATCAGTCTCTTGATTTCAGCACAGGTCATGATCTCAGGATTCGTGAGACAGAGCCCCATGTTGGGCTCTGTGCTGATAGCATGGAGCCTGCTTGGGATTCTCTCTGCCCCCCCCCCCCACTTTCTCTGCTCCTCCCCTGCTCACCCTTTCTCTCTCTCAAAATAAATAAACATTTTTAAAAAAGTGTTTTGAACTGAAAGAAAATAGAAACAGAACATGTCAAAATTTATGGGATGCTACTAAAGAGATACTTAAAGGGAAATTTATAATATTAATCCTCTATATTACAAAAGAAGAAATATCTCAAATCCATAGTCTCCACTTCCACTTTAACAATCTGGAAACGATTTAAACCAAAATATACAGAAGAAAGGAATTTTTTTAAAAACCAACCAGGTACATTGCATTACAAAAGCAAAAACAAAACAAAAAAAACAGAAAACTTGTAGAGAAAATCAACAGAACCAAAAAGCTGGTTCATTGAGAAGATGCATAAAATTGGCAACTCTTTAGCCAGACTGACTGAGGATAAAACAAAAAAGAAAAGACACAAATTACGAGTATTGAGACTGAAAGAAGTGGAATCGCGCAAATTCGACTGCTACTAAAAAAATAAAAATAAAACAATGTTACAAACAACTGTAAATACAAAGTTAAAAAGAACCTAAAACACATTCAAAAACCATAAAATGGACAAATGGTTGAAAGACACAAACTAGCTAAGCCTCCTTAAGAAGAAACAGATGACAGGGCACCTGGGTGGCTCAGTTGGTTAAGCATCCGATTTCGGCTCAGGTCATGACCTCATGGTTCGTGGGTTTGAGCCCCATGTCAGGTTCTGTGCTGGCAGCCAGCTCAGAGCCTGTAGCCTGCTTCAGATTCTGTGTCTCCCTCTCTCTCTGCCCCTACCCCACTCATGCTCTGTTTCTCTCTCTCTCTTAAAAATAAATGGTTTTTTTTTAAATTTTTAAAAGAACAGATGACATGAATACTTTTACATCAGTCAAAGAAATTGAATTTGTTATTTAAAAATTTTCCCACAAAGAAAACTCCAAGTCAAGAGAATTTCATCAGTGTCCTGCTGTATATTTTAAAAATAAATCATGCCAATTCTAAACTTCAGGAAGCTGAAGCAGGAGCAATACTTTTCAATTGAGTCCATGGGGCAGCTGTCTGATACTACAACCAAGAATAATATATTAGAAAAAAGACTACAGAGCAATATCTCTCATAAACAAAATCTTAAACTTCTAAGCAAAATTTTAGCAAATCAGATCCAACAATATATAGAAAAGAAAATATATCATGGCCAGGTAGGGTTTTAGCTCAGGAATGAGAGAGTAGTTTACATTAGAAAATCGATCAACACGATTTACCATATTAGAAAACAACAAAAGAAAAAAACCATATGATCATTTCAACAGACACAGAAAAGCACTTGACAATAGCCAATATACATAATTGATTTTAACAATCAGCAAAATAGAAATAAGAGGGAACTTTTTCAACTTAACACAGGACATTCATAAAATCAGTGGCTAACATTGTGCATGATGATAAAAGACTAGTCCACTTAGATTTAATGTAATTATTGCTGTGGTTGAGTTTAAGTCTACCATTTTGGTGTCCATTTTCTATTAACAGTATACTTTGTTTCTTTGTCTTTTCTTGCCTTCTTTGCTTAAAATAAAAAACAAGGCAAGAATGTGTGCTCAGACCACTTCTATTCAACATTGTACCGGCCAGTCTAGTAGATGCAATGAGTCAAGAAACAAAGGTATCTATATTGGAAAGGAAGAGTGAAACTGTCTTTATTAACAAACAGCATCATTAGATGTAGAAAAGAATCTACAAAAAACTATCAGGGCTAATAAATATGTTTATTAAGATTGTAGTTTACAAGATCAGTGTAAAAAAGCAATTTTATTTCCATATGAACTATGCAAACAATTCAATTTTGTATATGAAATATACAAACATAAAAATGAACAATCGTAATTTGAAATTTTAAAAACTACTATTTATCGTACATTATAAAATATTAAGTGCTTAGTGATTATTCTGACAAAAGATGTACAAGTGTATACACACTTAAAGACTACAGAACACAAATAACCATGTGATATCACTCAGATGAGATGCAAACCAAGACACAGAGTCTTAACTACAGAGAACACACAATGGTCACCAGAAAGGAGATGCGAGGGGCCGGGGGGGCGGATGGAGGAGAGGGAATGGGGGAAATAGGTGATGGGGATTAAGGAGTGCACTTGTGGTGAGCACTGGGTGATGTACAGAAATGTTGAATCACTATATTGTACACCTGAAACTAATATTACACTGTATGTTAACTCACTGGAATTTAACTAAAAGCTTAAAAAAATGATACTACACATAACACACACACACACACACACTACAAAATATTACTGATGAAATAAAAGACTTAAATGAAGAAATCTGTTCATGGGTAAGAAGACTCTATTGTTAAGACATCAATGCTTGAGAAGTTCAGCACACATCAATTAAAATACCAGTAGGCTTCTAATAGAAATTGAGAAGCTGATTCTAAAAGTCATATGGAAATTCAAGGGAGAACAAAAAATATTACAAATATCCCAAAATTAATGCCACTAAAAATGTACAAGATCTTGGCTGAGACAAAAATAAAATATTATCAAAAATATTAATAAAGATATGAAGAAATAGCTATATCATGTTCATGGAGTAGAATACAGAGTATTGTAAGCTTTTCACTTCTATCCAGATTTATCTATAGATCCGATACAGTTCCAGTCACAATCCCAATGTTACTTTGTGGAGCTCAATACACTGATTCTAAAATATACATCAAAGAGTAAAGAGCTGAAGGCTGGAATGGGTTGGGGTAGCAAAGTATTTCTTCTCTCATATATCAAAAGTTATTATAAAGCTACAGCAAGACATAAAATATTTATAGCAGCTTTTTTTCATTTCGTTCCATATCTCACCACCTTTGGGGGTGTCCAATCTTTTATTATTATCTAAACTCTTCTGGAGGATATGCACTAACTTCCTTATGTTTTGTGCTTATATGGTGCACTATTTTTATTCTTTTACTATCAATCTGGCTGTGACTTCATACTTCTTATAACCTGTATCTTGTTTCTTCTCCAGTGTGACAACATGTGCTTTAGAGTTATAGTATTCAGGGATGCCTGGGTGGCTCAGTCGGTTAAGCGTCCGACATCGGCTCAGGTAATGATCTCGTGAATTCACCAGTTTGAGCCCAACATCAGGCTCTGTGCTGACAGCTCAGAGCCTGGAGCTGCTTCAGATCTGCATCTCCCTCTCTCTCTGCCCCTCCTCTGCTTGCGCTCTGTCTTTCTCTGTTCTCAAAAGTAAATAAACATTTAAAAAAGTTTACAAAATTATAGTATTCAGTCCACTTAGATTTAACATAACTACTGCTATGGTTGGAGTTAAGTCTAACATCTTGGTATTCGTTTTCTAGTAACCCTGCATGCTCTTTGTTCCTTTGTTTCTCTCTTCTTCTAAATGAATCATGTATTTTTCAGTATCTCTGTTTTCAACTGCGTTGGGTTTTTTTTTCCAAGACCTTCTTTTTAGTGACTGCATTGGCTGTACAATAATCTTTTTGTTAAGTCTATTTATTTATTTTTAGAGTGCATGCATGCACACATGCATGCGTCAGGGAGGGGCAGAGAGAGAGGGAGAGAGAGAGAACCCCAAGCAGGCTCCCTGCTGTCAGCACAGAGCCCAATGCAGAGTTCAGTCTCACAAACCGTGGGATCATGACCTGAGCCAAAACCAAGAGTCTGACGCATAACTGACTGAGCCCCCCAGACACCCCTACGATAATCATCTTTAATTTATCAGAGTCTAATTTCAAGTAATATATACTTCACAACAGTGTAAGAAATTTATGACTGTATGATTCCATTTATAGCCTACCCACCTTTTATACTCTTAGGTCGTATTTTACTTCTAAATATGCTACAAATCTCAAAATATATTGTTAATATTTTTCCTTTAAAAAGGTCGATTGTCAGGTTGCCTGCATGGCTCAGTTGATTAAGTGACTGACTCTGCTTTTGGCTCAGGTCATGATCTCATGGTTTTGTGAGTTCGAGCCCCACATCGGGCTCTGTGCTGACAGCACGGGGATTCTTCTTCTCCCCCTCTCTCTGCCTCTACCCTACTTTGTGCTCTCTAAGAGAGAGAGAGAGGAAGAGAAAGAAAGAAAGAAAGTCAATTGTCATAAAGGTATATAGACATAAACTGATGACAAAATAAGTCTTTATGTATATATTCTCCCAGGGATGCTTTATTTCTGTTTGCATATCCAGAGTTGCTCCTGAATTCATTACCCTTCTGCCTGAGAAATGTCTTTGCATTTTCCTGCACAACAAGTTCTCTCCAGCACTCATCTGTATAAAGGTGTCTTTACTTTTGGCCTTCATTTTTGAAGGGTGTTTTTCACTGACTACAGAATTATAGGATGACAGCTGGGTTTTGTTGTTTTTAAAGCAATTTATGATGACATCGTTCCATCATCTTATGGCCTATGTCTGAGGAAGAAGTCAGCCATCATTCATGCCATTGATTTCATATATACAATGTGTCTTTTGGGGGCACCTGGGTGGCTCAGTCGGTTAAGTGTCCGACTTCAGCTCAGGTCATGATCTCACAGTTTGTGGGTTCGAGCCCCACATCGGGCTCTGTGCTGACAGCTCAGTGCCTGGAGCCTGCTTCGGATTCTGTGTCTCCCTCTCTCTCTGCCCCTCCCCTGCTCACGCTGTCTCTCTCTCTCTCTCTCTCTCTCAGAAATAAATAAAACATTAAAAAAATTTTTTAGAAACCAGTGTGTCTTTTTATCTGTAGCTTTTAGAATTTGCTCTTTATCTTTGTTCTTCAGCTCTTTTATTATGTATTATTTATTCATGATTAGGTGTGATTTTCTTTGTGTGCTGTTTGTGGTTCCACTGAGCTTCGTGGGTTTCTGGGATTATGTCGTTCGTTAATTTGGGGTTGTTCTTGGACATTATCTCCTCAAATATTTCTTCTGCACTATTCTGTTTTTCCTCTCCTTCTAGGAGTTTAAAAATGCACAGATGACGCCATTTAATATTGCCCCACAGATCTGGATCTGTTCATTTTGTGTTTATTCTACTTCATTCTTTGTATTTCAGGTTGTCTGTTAACCTGTCTTCAAGTTCACTGCCCCTCAGCTTTTCCCACTTTACTCTCGAATGCATCTAATAATTTTTTTATTCCTGATGTCATATTTTTTATTTCTAACATTTTCACTTTGTTCTTTTTTTATATATATATGTCATTTACATGTCTCAGCTGAAATTCCCCGTCTCTGTCCTCACGTTGCCCATCTTTTCCAGTAGGTCCTTCCCATTTTTATCAGTTATTACCTCTTTAGCCATATTTGGGCTCTTAGCACTGGCAAGATTCCAGAGATCTCTTCATACTGTACAACGGGCCCACCACCTCTCCAAATCCGAGGACAGCTGTCTTGCTTTATAGCCTAGCTGCCAGCTTTTTGATCACTCAGGAATTCTCTTTCCTTTCTCATCTGCCCTTGGATTCTTCATGCATTGAGCTCTCTCTCTCTCTCTATCTCTCTGTCTATCTGTCTCATGCTTCCATCCCCAGTTGTGGCAGAGAGGCTGCCTTACACTTTGTCAAGGCTAAGCATGTCTCAGAGGGAGAGCTTCTCTCAGCTCCCTTCTCCCACTCCTGGCTCATGGTAGCCAAGAATCTCGAGTACAAATGATGTCTCTCAACCTTGCTCACTTGCTGCCTGCCCCCTCTGTCTTCAGAGGATTACTGCTTCCTATTTGGGAGAGGCTCTGAATAGCTAAGGGAGATCTCTCAGCTCCCTGGCTTTGTCCCACAGCCTTTGGCTTACTGTACCTATGCACTCGGTGACGATCTATGGGAAAGTTTGTGGGTGGATAAAAACTCATTCCACGGCTGGGGCTCCTTGAGGTTCTTATCTGTCATATTTATGATGGATTCCTCTTCCCATCCCTCTGCCAAGAATGAGCACAACTATGGGTCTTTTCTGTGAGGGGCCCATCACTTTGTTTCTAATATTATTTACTCTTGGAGGATTGTCTCACACTCATTTAAACAGCACAAGCTCTAGACTTTTTTTTTTTAAGTTTTTATTTTTTTCCTATTTAAAAAAAATTTTAATTTAAATCCAAGTTAATTAACACAGGAATAGAATTCAGCGATTCATCACTTACATATAACAACCCAGTGCTCATCCCAACAAGTGCCCTTCTTAATGCCCCTCACCCCTTTAGCCCCTTCCCCCCACCCAAACTCTGCTGGCAACCCTCTGTTCTTTGTATTTAGGAGTCTCTTATGATTTGTCTCCTTCTCTGTTTTTATATTGTTTTTGCTTCCCTTCCCTTATGTTCATCTGTTTTGATCTTAAATTCCACATATGAGTGAAATCATATGATATTTGTCTTTGACTGACTTATTTTGCTTATCATAGTACAGTCTAGTTCTATCCATGTTGTTGCAAATGGCAAGATTTCATTCTTTTTGAGTAACATTCCACTGTATATATATATATACCACATCTTCTTTATCTATTCATCAGTCCTTGGATATCTGGGCTTTTTCCATACTTTAGCTATTGTCGATGGTGCTTCTATAAACACTGGGGTGCATGTCCCCCTTCAAATTAGCACACCTGTATCCTTTGGATAGGATTGGATAGTGCAGTTGCTTGGTCATAGGGTAGTTCTATTTTTAACTTTCTTGGGGAACCACCATACTGTTTCCCAGAGTGGCTGCACCAGTTTGCATTCCCAGCAGTACTGCAAGTGTTCCTCTTTCTCCGCATCCTCACCAACATCTATTGTTTCCTGAGCTGTTAATTTTAGCCATTCTGACAGGTGTGAGGTGGTATCTCATTGTGGTTTTGATTTGTATTTCCCCGACAATGAGTGACGTTGAATTTTTTTTTTTCATGTATCTGTTAGCCATCTGGATGTCTTCCTTGGAAAAATGTCTGTTCATGTCTTTTGCCCGTTTCTTCGCTGTATTATTCACTTTTTGGGTGTTGAGTTTGATAAGTTCTTTATAGATTTCAGATGCTAACCCTTTATCTGATATGTCATTTGCAAATTTCTTCTCCCATTCCTTTGGCTTCCATTTAGTTTTGCTGATTGTTTCCTTCACTGTGCAGAAGTTTTTTATCTTGATGAGGTCCCAATAGTTCATTTTTGCTTTTGATTACACCCTTGCCTTTGGAGAAATGTCAACTAAGAAGTTGCTGCAGCTGAGGTCAAAGGGGTTGTTGCCTGTTTTCTCCTCTAGGATTTTGATGGCTTTCTGTCTTACATTTAGATCTTTCACCCATTTTGAGTGTATTTTTGTATATGGTGTAAGAGAGTGGTGCAGGTTCATTCTTCGGCATGTCGCTGTCCAATTTTCCCAACACCATTTGCTGAAGAGACTGGTTTTTTCCCATTGGGTATTCTTTCCTGCTTTGTCAAAGATTAGTTGGCATATGTTTGTGGGCCCATTTCTGGGTACTATGTTCTGTTCCATTGATCTATGTGTCTGTTCTTGTACCAGTCAGTACCAGACTGTCTTGATGATGACAGCTTTGTAACACAGCTTGAAGTCTTGAGTTGTGATGCCTCAAGCTTTGGTTTTCTTTTTCAGGATTGCTTTGGCTATTCAGGGTCTTTTCTGGTTCCATACAAATTTTAGGATTGTTTGCTGTAGCTCTATGAAGAATGCTGGTGTTTTTTATATAGGGCTTGCATTGAATATGTAGATTGCTTGGGTAGTATTGACATTTTAGCAATATGTGCCCAAGACACTCCTTTTGATTGTCATGAAAATAAAAGTTACATAGTAAGTAAAAATCTCTTAAGAATTAGAAACAATTGGGAAGAAGAGATAGGGAAGAAGAGGGATCTTGGCTTTCTAAATGAAATTAGGCCCAATGAGTTGCAGACACAGTAGTCTCTCTAACAGCCTGTGTTCATGAAAGCGTAATATTGATCTGTCTAAGGTTTTCAAGTTCTCTCTTCTCTTGATAGCATATCCAAGGAAGCTATAATTCCAAAAATAACTTAATGTTTGAAGGGTCTTTATATCTTGACCATAGTAAACATCAAAGGGGCACTCCTAGCCAGAGTGGGTAAATTCATAAGAAAAGAGAAGGCTGATACTCTCTGGGGATTTAAAAGGTAATGAAAATTAGTTATTTCTAGAGATAAAGAATAAAATTACTGAAATAACTTATATTCATGAATATACATAAAATGATATATTTCCATGTAACATATTTCAATGCCTGGAGTATTATTCAGAAATACACTAGAAGTCCAACCTTAGTGGTTACTACATTTTGCTTTTAAATATAGCAAATTAGAGGCAAAGAAGGACAAATATCATATGTTTGCACGTATAGGAGGATTAGGAGGAACTTAACTGAGGACCATGGGGGAGAAGAAGGGGGGAAATGGTGGGGGAAAGGGAGAGAGGCAAACCATGAGAGACTCTTGAATGCTGAGAAACAAACTGAGGTCTGATGGATGTGGGGGGGATGGGGGAGATGGGCATGGAGGAGGGCACTTGTGGGGATGAGCACTGGGTGTTATATGGAAACCAATTTGACAATAAACTATTTGTAAAAAATAAAATAAAATAAAATAAAATAAAATAAATAATAAAATAAATAAATATAGCAAATTAGAAGACCAGAATTGTTAGGACCAATCCTAAAACCAAAGATTTTTAAATTATTTTCCATTTTGTTACAGAATAAAGTAAGAAGTGCGATGGCAGTCTGGACCAAAAATGAAGTTTACTTAGGATATCTTTCTCTTATCTTTGTGAAACTAACGACCACTGAAAAACTGAAAAGCCTTCTAAATATATCACCAGCTGATACACTGACTATACAAAATGTTGCATTTCTAGCACACCCTTTGGAACTTGCCATAATATTAAATTACTGCACCACATGTTCAATCAACAAAAAGATTTATCTGGTAATATATAATGAAGATACAGAGCAGTGGATGAAACAAGACTTTGCATTAGATGTCACTAGCGACACTGTTTTAAGTGCATATTTTATATATTCAGCAATGCCAGACTTATTACTATGGGACAAACATAGGCTCTACTATTGCTATCAAAATTTCACCGACACGGGAATTATCCAAACACCTACAGAATTTGGAAATTTATCAAGGTTATCACAGAACAGCACTATTCATAATGTTTTCATAGGTGAGTCATTCTCATTCTGCAAAAAAATTATTCTATATATTAGAGTAGATATCTTCCTTATGAAGATGTAACAATTATAAACGGACTAAAATATGGGTATATGGGTACAGAAAGATGTACTTTTTACCACCTACAAAGGGATATATTTGAAGCTCCACGAAAGTCAGCTATGATCTCACGTAGCGAAATGGCAAACTCAAGTTCTGGGTTTTTCCTTGTAGATTCATTTTGGTTAATCAGCAGATACCTACGCATTTTAGTGTAGGAAGTGATACGGTGTTGTATTCATTTCCTAGGGCTCCTTAGGGCTACCACTAGCTGGGTGGCTTAAAACCACAGGAATTGATAGTCTCAATTTTGGAGGCTAGAAGTCCACATTCAGGGTGTCAGCAATGCAATGTTCCCTCTGAAACCCAAAGGGGGATCTTTCATGGCTTCTTCCCAGCCTCTGGGGGCTTGCTGGTAAGCCTTGCCATTCCTTGGCTTGCAGTGGCATCATTCCAACCTCCGCCTTCATCACAACGTAGCTTTCGCCCCATGTCTTCGCCAGCTTCTTGTAAGGACACCAGGGCCCATCATGCTCCAGTAGGACCTCATCTTAACTGATTACCTCTGTCATGACCCTGTTTCCAAATAAGGTCACATTCTGGAGGAGTACTGGGAATTAGAATGTCAACATATCTTTTCTGAGGGGACACAACCAAGCTATGGCAGGTGTTGCAAAGTTCAGAGGACCCGTATTCACATCCATGAGCAAGTTTTTGAACCTTTCCAATCTTCAGTATTCTAATCTAGAAGGTAGGGTGGCTGTGTCAACCGGATAAGGGGTTGCATGTAAAATGCTTAAGATAAAACTGGACGCTTGGTAAACCTTCAGCTGATAGTAGTTATTCTTGACCTTATTATTCCTGAGGTAGCATACCAAACATTATAGGCCATGCCAAGAAATAGGAAGTTCAATCTTCAAAAAGCCTAGTTGGGAGATAACCCTAACCATGGGATTTAAAGGAAAGGTCACTGTCATTCCTAATCAGTCTTTCCTGGTCTCTATCACCTTTCAACTCCCAGCCATTTGATTTTTATGTTCCCCTTTACAACAAAACCCTAAAAAAGATTGCCTAGTTTCATTTTTTCCTCTTTCCTCCCTTTCTCTTGAAGGCACTCTAATCAAATATTCCACGGAAACTGCTCTTGTTAAGCTTCTCGATGACCTCCACTGTGCTAACCCAGTGGCCAATTCCCAACCATCTTCCAGGACCTGGCAGCAGCATGGGAAACCACTCAGCAGGGCCTTATTCTCAAAACACCTTTTCTTTTTGAAGTTTATTTTTTAAAGCTTTTATTGAAATTTTAGTTAACATACAGTGCAACCCTGGCTTCAGGAATAGAATTCAGTGATTCATCACTTACATGCAACACCCAATGCTCATCACAACAAGTGCCCTCCTTAGTGCCCATCCCCCATCTAGCCCCTCCCCCACCCGCCTCCCTCCATCAATCCCATTTGTTCTCTGTCGTTAAGAATCACTTGTGATTTATTTCCCTCTCCTCTTTTTTTTTTTAGCTATTTTTTTTATGTTTTTTATTTATTTCTAGGAGAGAGAGAGAGAGACAGCGTGAGCAGGGGAGGGTCAGTGAGAGGGAGTCACAGACTGAAACAGGCTCCAGGCTCTGAGCTGGCAGTCAGCACAGAGCCCGACGCGGGGCTCGAACCCAGGAACCGCGAGATCATGACCTAAGCGAAAGTCGGACGCTCAACCGACTAAGCCGCTCAGGCGCCCCTCCCTCTCCTCTTTTTACCCCTTTCAACAAGTTCATGTTTTGTTTCTTAGCTTCCACGTATGAGTGAAATCATATGGTGCTCGTCTTTATCTGGCTGACTTACTTAGCTTAGTGTAATACACCCTAGCCCATCCATGTCATTGCAAATGGCAAGATTTGCCATTTGCCTTTATCCTTTTTAATGGCTAAGTATTATTTCTTTGTATATATATACACCACATCTTCTTTATCCATTCATTAGTTGATGGACATTTGAGCTCCCTCCTTAGTTTGGCTATTGTTGATAACAGAAATGCTAGATGCTAGAAACACTGGGGTGCACATATCCCTTTGAATCTGTATTTTTGATCCTTTGGATAAACACCTAGTCGTGTAATTGCTGGATCGTAGGGCAGTTCTAGTATTAGTTTTTTGAGGAACCAGAGTGGCTGCACCAGTTTGCATGTCCACCAACAGCACCAAGAGTGTTCCCCTTCAAAACACTTTTTTTCACGTAACTTCTGGGGTATCACTTTTTCACTTTTTCTGCTACCTCATTCATCTACTCCTCTCCAGCCTCTTTTCCATTTTCATCTTCCTGATTCCCAAATGGAGAAGCACCTCAAGGTTTGGTTTTCAGGCATCTTCTGAGTTCTGTTTACATTTGCTCTGCCCTCTGGCCAATGACCCCTCACCCGAATTCCAAGCCCTATTCGCAGCTGCCTTCTGGATACACTTGGATGATGAGTAGGCGTCTTAGATTTGACATCCAGGAATGAATCCCTATCTCACTCAGCTTGCTCTAAATTGGAGATAGATTTTACTTTTTACTTTTTTTTTTTAATAGAAAATAGTTTTTTAATGTTACCTTCATCTCAACACAACATTCCACTAACATATCTGCATGGGTATATGCATTTTACACAAATGTATGAAAAAGTATATGTACACTTTTTAATTTAAATTTTAGTTAGGGGGCACCTGGGTGGCTCAGTTGGATAAGCATCCAGCTTTGGCTCAGGTCATAATCTCACCCTTCGTGAGTTCAAGCCCCGCATCGGGTTCTGTGCTGACTGCTCAGAGCCTGGATCCTGCTTCAGTTTCTGTGTCTCCCTCTCTCTCTGTCCTCCCCTGCTCATGCTCTGTCTCTCTCACTCTCAAAAATAAATAAACATCAAAAATATTTTTTTCATTTAAATTTTAGTTAGTTAACATACAGTGCGATATTAGTTTCAGGAGTAGAATTCAGTGATTCATCACCTGTATACAACATCCAGTGCTCATCCCAATACTTGGGGATAGATTTTAGAGGGACTTTACAGTCTGAATGTTGTACTGAGGGCCATTTGGAAACACGGAAATAAAAAGTTGAAACAATTCCTAAGTGTATGAAATATGAAGTTGAAAGCCTTCCGCCTTTGCCATTTTCATTTCTCAAATAACCCACTATTCAAAAGTTCCTGTGAATTTATTCAGACTTTGGAAAGAGAAAATTCAAAATATAATAAGCTATATTTTCAAAACATCTAATACATATAAAAATCACTGCCATAGAGTATTCCATGGTTTACTTGTACTATTATTTAAACCAATAGGAGTATAAATGGATATTTAGAGAGATATCACGCTTCATTTCTTTTGCTACTACAAATAATGCTGCAGAAAATGTGCTTCTGGATAGATTTTTTTGTACACTTGTACAGGTATTCTTTGATATAAGTTATTAGCTGTAGAATTAAGGATCAAAGCCCTAAATATTTAAAAAAAAAGCAATAAATCTTTCCAGTTTGCCCTCCAGCAAAAGTTGCCACAGTCTGTTTCCCCAAATGTATTAGAAAATGTGTGTTTTCATAGAATGTATTTCGTATATACTCACAGTACAGAAAAAGATGGGTAATTCTCATTTTATGACTCATTTCATAATTAGAAGTTATCTCTAGTTTCATGTGTTTATTGGCCATATTGTTCTATGGTTTGCCCATTCTTACTCATGAGATATTTTTGCATGGGGTTATCTCTTTTCTTATTGATACGTTCTTTACTCAGAGTGTATATCAGCCATTTATCTTTGACATGTATTGCAAATATGGTCTCTTATGTGTGATTTCTTATACTTTTTTGGAGGGATTTGGTATTTAGAATTTGTGTTTTTGTGTAGTTAAATGTGTTAATATTTTTACCTGTGACTTTGGATGTAATGTCATAATTTGAAAGGCCTTTCCAATTACAAGAATATTACCAAATATTTTATCATTTTTATTTTTCTAGTATGCATATTTCAATCTTTAATTCATCTAGAATTGCATTTGTTATAAGTTAAGAATTTGGTTTTGTTTTTTATTTGTATGTCTTCCACTGAAAGCTGATATTGCCTTCAAATGACTGTTTTAAAAACCAGCCCTTACCCCACTTATTTGAAATACCACTTTCATTATCTATTTATTACTCGTGTCAAGCAGGTTCATTTTCTAGCCTATTTTGCTCTGCTCCTACCTGCATGAGCTCTCTGTCATTTTGATTACCAGAGCCCTAATCTCCTGACACACCACATAACTCACTTATTTTCATGTCCTGTTGACTGCCTTCCGTGCAGGAATGTTAAGTTACACAAGAAGGAGGACTTGCTGGCTTTTTTAAGGTATCCCTCTCAAGTTTCTAGAACAGTGTGTAGCTATAACAGGCATTCAATAAATATTTATTGAAGACATGATGATATGTGTGCAATAATAGGTCTTCCCAAGCAGGAATGTTGTATGCTTCATTATTTGTATTTTCTCTAACTGGTCTGTTCAAATCTTCCATCTCTTCTTTAGTCAATTTGAGAAGTTTGTATTTCCTTAGGAAATCGTTCACTTTATCTGGATTTTCTACTTTATTGGCAAAGGTTTCCCATTTTAATTTTTAGATTGCTTATTATCTGTAATAGTATTCTCTCTCTCATTTATTATTTTTTAATTTTTTATGTGTTTATTATTAAGAGACAGAGACAGACAGAGCATGAGCATGGGAGGGGCAGAAAGAGATGGAAACACAGAATCTAAAGGAGGCTCTTGGCTCTGAGCTGTCAGCACAGAGCCAGATGTGGCGCTCAAACTCACAGACCATGAGATCATGATCTTCTGCATCATGTAAAGTTGTTTTCTGTCTGCACACTCAAACTTTCTCAGAACAGATAAATCCTTCCTTACTACAAAAGAAAATTACTTTGCTTAGAAGTGCATGGATTCACGGTTACTAAGAATAACACAAACTTTTCTCTTCCTTTTCCAGATTATTACGGAAATGTGGTGGTGAAAATGAAAAATAATATAATGTTCTATTTCAAGGCCAATATTAGAGACGCAGTGAAACTACACGTATGGATTAACAGTACAATGAAGTCATTGACTGCAATGAGTTCCTCTGGTGTAGTGTTTCTCATACGTGTTTTTGAAAATGGCACAGTGTATCCGCAGGAATATCCTTTAAGACTAGAAGCAGAAAGTGTAGCTTTCACTATCAAAGAGAAATGCCCCTACGTGGCATTTCTTAATAATATTTTTACTGTTTTCTACTTTTTGGACAAGGGACAGAACATATCCATCTGGACTCAGATAGTCTATCCAGAAAATGTTGGTCTGTATATTATGGTGGAATCATATGGCCCAAAAATATTACAAGAGAAACATCACATTCACTATGAAATTGCCCTAGGATACTGCACCAAAACCATGGTAAGTTAATAATTTTAAAATGCATTCATGTGATTGTAATAAAGGTAAAATTACAATATTGACTTTTTGTAATCCGATCAAAAAAATAGTATCTAGCATTGTTGGCCACATTAAATGAGGTTTTCCCGTAACAACCTTCATCCTTTATTTTAGGTCATCTTGACCAATGTTGCAGTGATTTCTATTAACTGATTGTGGTAAACAATGCTTGATGTGAAAAGAAATTAGGACTCTCTTCATCTGGTGTGTGTGTGTGTGTGTGTGTGTGTGTGTGTGTGTGTTTAAAAAAAGGTTTTTCTTCTAAGGTTAGCTTGGAAAATGTTGAGAAATATGTAAGTTTTTAATAAATAATAAATGATAAGCCGTTAGCTCCTGAGCTATCCATTTCACTTTTATTATCCAAAGCCTCTTTGCTGCCTAAAAGCACATTCCTGCAGAACTCTTTGACTATCCATTGTATTATCTGCTTGCTTTTTTTTTTTTTTAATGTGTGGCTTTGCGTAGACTTCTATCTGCCATCTCTTATGCTATTAACACCATCCCAAAACCCAACGGCTTCAAACAGTACCCAATTCTATTTGTCAACATTTGGGTTGTGAGAGGCTGGACCATTCTGCTGGATTCATCTGGGTTGCTTCATGAGGTGGTCATCTGGTGGCTTTTCTGGGACAAGGTGATCCAAGATGGCCTCAAGCACACCTCAGGTGGCTGGTGCTCACATTGGCTTCTTTGTAGAAAGGACATCAGCTGAGCACTCGTGTCTGATCCATGTGGCCTCTACTGTCCAGGCCGGACCTGGCTTTTCCCCAAGGTGGTCTCAGGGCAGTATTCCAAGACCGTGTCAGCAGAAGCCATAAGGCCTCTTGAGGCCTACGCTTGGCCACATTCCATTTGTCAAAGCAATTCATGAGGCCAGCCTAGGTTAACAGGATGGAGAATTAGAGTCCAGTTCTTAATGGGAGAGCAACGGCAAACTTACGCTGTAAAGGGAGGTGCCTACAGGAAGAAGAAGAATTATTGCAGCAGGTAGCTGTTTACTGTTTACAAATGAACTGTATATATTAGTTTGCATACTACTTTCCAATGAACATTATAGCATAAGCATTTTACGTGTTACTACAATTTTTTCCCAAACACTGTATATTCTATTTCCCACCTTCTCTTTCTAGGCTAAGCTTTCTTTAGCATATATAAGAGTGGGCCTCTTAACCGATGCAATGGAATGGAGTGTTCAGTTAATTCCAAAGTCAGTTAAAGCAGAGAATCCTAAAACATGAACGTGATACATGTGAAACATTGTACTTTAAAAATAAATGAACGTGCATTCGTTAGTCAATCTTTTAATATAGGACCACAGGCTTTTCTTTGAAATAAGTCAACTTATTGGAGCACCTCGTGTCCTTTCTTGAATAACCTAATTTGTAATGCATTATTTATGAGTTCTTATTTCCATTTCTTTAAAGTAGAGGAGGGGGAAAATTAATGACCCTGGGAAAACAGCACAAAAGTTTTAGATTTTTTATTTTTTACCAGCTTTTTACTGTAAGCTTGCTCATCCCTAATTCTGCAATTTCTTTATTAAAACTTTCCAAAGCAATCAATTTAGTTCTCAGAGAAGCAGTAAATCTCATTTCACCAGTTCATAATATTTCATTCCACAACTACAATAGTAATGCAGTCTGGCAAAAAAAAAAAAAAAAAAACAGGTTTAGAAACAAAGAAAGCTGATTCAGGTTTGCATACAGTTATAGGGATAGATCTTCAAACAGTGTTGAGCAGAAGACCATGTTAAGTGAGAAACTGAGATCGATCATATGGTAACATTTATGAAAATTGGAAACAAATCACACATACAGATCACAAGCAACAAAACGAAAAGCATTATTCATTTTACGTGGGTACAAAGCTACCCAAGGATATGTGACACCACCATGATGATGTCATGCTTGTTTGATACACATTATGGTGGTCTACCGTGGGGAAGAAAATGAGGGAAGAAGGTACAGGGGAAAAGTAAAACATAATAAATAAAATGAGACTTGATTGATCATGTTTCAAGAAGCAAGGAGTATCTTTAACTAGCTTTTCTGAAACTGAATTACCCCCCTCTTCCAGGAAAAAAAACAAAAACAAAAAAACAAAAGATTTGCACTTTCTTTCAGCCCAGGAAAATTTTCTTTCATGATTTCACCCCAATATCTGCAGATGCTCTCATAAATTTTCGTTCCAAGAATGGGCTGTCTAGTGTGCATTTGCCCATTTACAGTTCAGAACTTCAGAATAATAGTTACCAATCAAAATATACAGATGGCCAAGGATGTAAAATTTACCTATTTTAATAAAATATTATTTATTAGCTGATGACATTAAGCAAGGTTTTTAAAAATTTAATTCCATAAAATTCCTCTTAAGACTGCTTTTACATCTAATTTTTTATTAAATTGTTTTAATTCCAGTATAGTTAACATATAGTGTTATATTAGTTTTAGGTACACCGTATAGTGGTGCTTCAACACTTCCCTACATCAACCAGTGCTCATCACAAGTGCACTCCTTAATCTCCATCACTTATTTCCCCTGCCCTCCCTCTCCCCTCTGGTGACCAAGAGTCTATTTCTTGGTTTGTCTCTCTTTTTTTTCTCCCTTTGCTCATTTATTTGGTTTCTTAAGTTCCACATCTGAGTGAAATCATATTTGTCTGTCTCTGACTTATTCTTAGCATTATACTCTCTAGTTCCAAAAATGTCATTGCAAATGGTGAGGTTCATTCTTTTTTATGGCTGAGTAATATCCCATTGCATATATACCACCTCTTCTTTATCCAGTCATCAGTCAGTAGACACTTGAGCTGCTCCCATAATTGGCTCTTGTAGATAATGCTGCTATAAACATAGGGGTGCATGGATCATACCTGTCACAATGGGTAAAATAAAAAACATAAGCAAAAACACAAGGTGTTGGCAATGATGTGGAGAAAGGGGAACCTTTTTGCTCTGTCAGTGGGAACGCACACTGGTGCAGCCACTCTGGAAAACAGTACAGAGTCTCCTCTAAAAGTTAAAAATGGAACTACCCTTTGATCCAGCAATCACCCTACTGGGTGTTTACCCAAAAAACACAAAAACACCAATTCAAAGGGAGAAGCAAATTTTTTAACCTTTCTATGCCTTCGTACCCTCATCTAAGTAATGATGATGATAATAATATATGTAATAAAATATATGAATACATAATTATGTTAACATGTTAATATAATTTCATTATATTATTATATAAAATACAAGGATATAATTATTATCATGCTATTTACTTCGTAAGGTTATTAGGATGAGATGAGGTTTTTTTATTTTTTTAAGTGTTTTATTTATTTTTGAGAGAGATATAGAGACAGCGTGAGCAGGGGAAGGTCAGAGAGAAAGGAAGACACAGAATCTGAAAACAGGCTCCAGGCTCTGAGCTGGCTGTCAGCACAGAGCCCGACACGGGGCTCGAACCCACAAACTGTGAGATCATGACCTGAGCTGAAGTCGGATGCTTAACTGACTGAGCCCTCCAGGTGCCCTAGGATGAGATGAATTTATGTATGTAAAGCACTTGGAGCTGCATCTGGCACCTGGCAAGAACTCTATTTATTTATGAGTTACTACCGCTACAATCACCACCGTACCTACTGCTACTTCTACCACCACCCATTTCATCAGTTCTAAGGCATAGTTGTTTTTTTTAACCATCTATGACATCAGGATGAGTCTTACACCTGTGGCATCCTAGATTTGATGAATTATGATTTTATTCTTTGCATTCTATACTTTTACTATGACACATCTAGATGTTTACGTTTATCCTTCTTGGGATTTCTTGGGCCTCTTGAATCTGTGGATCACTGTCTTTATCAGGTATCGTGTCAAATATCATCTTTGCCTCTGTCCCTGTCTTTCCTCCTGAAACACTGATGAAACAAAAGCTAAACTTCTATCTATTCCCCATGAGTCTTTCACTTTCTTCTTTATTGTCCATCCTTTATCTTTTATACATTGTTATAATTTCTTCCAATCTGTCTTCCACTTCACTCCTTTTTGCCATGACTAATCTGATGCCAAAATCATACACTGTGTGTTTATTTTGACTCTTGTAGTTTTCATCTCTAGAAGGTTTTTTTTCCCCTTAAAAACACACGGACATGTTTATAGTTTCTTTTCTTTTTTAAAAAATACTCATTTTTGAGGGAGACAGAGAGGGAGAGATGTAGCACAAGCAGGGAAGGGGCAGAGAAAGAGGGAGACGTAGAGTCTTTTTTTTTTTTTTTTTTTTAGAAGAGAACCACTGAGGTAGGGCTTTTAATTCTGTTAGAAAAAGATGTTAGCTGCAGTTTAAGAACTTACTCTTTGCAAGACACAGTAATAAGCATTTTATATCTATGGCATTATGGAGAGAAAGGAAATGGTATCAGAGCCAGTAAGTGGCAAAATTGGGACAAGATCCACACACATCATTTGTTGGCTGAGATATAACTGGCTTTGCTCACTCAGCCCAATACTTCCTGAGTAGAATCCCAGTGGGGCAAGAGTGAGATTTTTGGAACAAACTGCTTCCCAGATAAGTTGGCCCTCGTAGCGGGCTCTGACATTTTTAGAATATTTGGGATGGAGGGAAAGGAGTATACATTGGGAGATGGAATCAATTTATACTCCTAGGCTAATCATTTTAGTGCTCAAGTAAGTGGGGAGACACAGAATCTGAAGCAGACTCCAGGCTCTGAGCTGTCAGCACAGAGCCCGATGTGGGGCTCGAACTCACAAACCGTGAAATCATGACCTGAGCCAAAGTCTGACGCTTAACTGGTTGAGCCAACCAGGGATCCCTATAGTTTCTTTTACACAACAGATATTTTCAAATTGTCATTTATCTCCACACCACTAGTAAACATATCTGTTTTATAATCTGCACCTATTACCTCCATATCTGCAGTCTGTTTTCCCTCATCATTGTTTATTCTGCTTATTCCTCATGCATGCCTTATTTCCTTGTGTGCTTGCTTATTCTCAACTATGTGCAACTACCTTTGTAAAACTGTAAGAATCCCCTGAAGTTGAGTAAGAATATGCCTTGATCTTAAGAGGTTCTGTGTTTGCTAGTATGTAGGGGCACCACTCCCTTGAAACTTCTTTAAATCCCGAGTCTTCTGGGCAAACAATTCTCCGATATAAAGCCATACAAGAACATACCCATAGGTAGGCTAGCAATTGTTAGGAGAACCTTTTTTTCCTTTTCTTGCTTTTTCTGATCACATAGTTACTAAAATCACTGGAAGGCTAAGGAGGGCAGAAATTTAATCCTGACTTACTGTTACCCTGGGAATACAGTGTTCTGATAACACAGGTTAATGTAGAGAGAATATCCAATTTTATTCTCTGTCCTGAATTCTCCCTCTCCTGACAAATATGAAAAATGCCTTTAGAGGAAGAATAGATTATGGCCTCTAGTGTTCTGCTCTCTTCTCTAGATTCCTAATTGCCCTCAGTCTTTGGGCTAAGAGTTCTCTACTTTGTCGTCAGTTATTTGATGCTTCTAAAGGTGACTTCTCAAAGGTTGATGTTCACAGGTTTTGTGTTGTTTGTTTTTAAGAGCAAAAATATGTCCATATGACCTTATCCACCACTCCTGGAAATCAAAGTCTCCAAATCATTTCTAATTATTTATGATGAAATGGTTTTTAAACAGATTATCACATTCACAAAATATATATATTTTAAATAGTTTCACTGGGCGAATATTTTCAGTGATTATGATCCAAAATAATATACATATATGCTGGTTGAGCTACAGACCCAAGTTCAAGCACCACTTAAGTGTAAATTTGACAACTAGTTCCTTTCCTTGAACATGAACTAGATTTATTTTTAATGTGATGACGTCCACAGCCTCCAACTTTATCACAAGAGATTGTGTATTTCATTTAATGCCATTTGGCATCCAAGATATTAATAAATAAGCTTTGTCTCAGAAGTAAGATTTTTTGCAGAGGTTATTTTAGAGGTACAACGTCTGTGTTCTAGTCACACCAGATTAGCCAGAGCCAAGTTGATATCTCTGAAGATAGGTATAAATATATATAACACAAAGACATACCACCAAAAAAGCAATCTTGAGATATACTGATTATAGTTATCATGCTTTAAAGCTACACAGCTTATGGGACACCTGGGTGGCTCAGTCGGTTGAGCGTCCAACTTCTGCTCAAGTCATGATCTTACAGTTCATGAATTCGAGCCCCGCAACGGGCTCTGTGCTGACAGCTCAGAGCCTGGAGCCTGTTTCAGATTCTGTATCTCCCTCTCTCTCTCTCTCTCTGCCCCTCCTCTGCTCGCCCTCTCTCTCGCAAAAATAAATAAATGTTTAAAAAAAGTTAAAATAAAAATATAGAGCTTATAATTTTTTTGCCTCTAAATTCATACATATTCTATAACTGGATTTATTCTGAAAAGATAGAAACTTTCTGGAAGACTGAACACTGAGATGAATCGTGCCCCAGGTGGAAGAAATTAGCAAGGACATATATACAAGGCAAACAGATTTTTTTAAATTACTCATAAACAAGAGGAGGAAGGTTCAGGCAAATAACTCCTCATAGTCTCAAAAATTATGGACAACATTACATTCGTAATTATTTTAAAAACCTCAAAGAAGAAATAAAAAGGTGCAGAGACAAGGTTATTAGGAACAGGAGAAGGCTGGTCGCACATCAGGAATGAAATGAAAAATTAAAAAATTAAATGGGAATATTACAATGACGAAAATAAATGAAGAGGGAAAGAGAAGCATTAGAAATAAAAGGACTGTGTTAAAAAGCAATTAGAAGAGAAAATAAGAAAAATGTAACAAAGGAAATCTAATATATACATAATTGGAGTTTCTAAGTTAGAAAAGAAAATAAATTGGAAAAATGCTAAATATATTTTTCTCACCTAAAGAAAGTTTCAAATCTGTCTTGATTTGTCTTGTTCATTGTCCCCATTCCCAGTTTTCCTGTTTTAAATAAACTCTCATTTTCTTTTCCAGACAATAACATTTTTTCAAACTAAGAATTATGAAGCAGTAGATGATTACTTCAAGTTGCAGTAAGTATGACTTTTAAAAGAACCTATTTGGTACGAAATATGCTATCGAGGTTATTGATTTCTAGGTATTCTTTTATTTCAGTGGCCTCATATCACTTTAAATATCCAGATTTCAAATTCCTTAAATGTCTGGATACATGTGAAATTACTATTCTGTATAAAAATGTAAAATACTCCTTGTAATGAAATGAAACCTATCAAAGTTTTCATTCATCCAACTGAAGATGCAAAAAAACGAGCCATTTCTTAATTCAGTAATTTTTGAGCGTGTTTTATCGTTCATTCCCATCCCAAAGTCTTCACATACTATCCTTGGGTAGACTGGAACTAATATCGGAAAGTCTTTGAGTAGAATCAGAGAAAACACCATCATTGACTCTTCTTGGAATTGGTAGGACCTGAGCACATAATTTCTGGAGGAAGCAACTAATCTGGAATTGTGTCTTAAGGCATTTCTAGGGTTATCATTATGTCCTGACTCGATACATTCTCTGGAAAAACAGCACTGCTACTCTAAGTGAGTTTGAGTACCTACTCTACACCAAGCACTTTCTAGGTGTTCAAAATACACGGTGAACAAGAAAGGAGGTACTCCTGCCATGGGACATATCTCTTGTGGGAAAAGACAAATGAGTCATCAAATAAATGAGCAAGATGATTTCAAATAGTTTTAACTGTTATTAAAGAAAGAAAACAGAATGAAGAGGGAGAGGGAGACCAGGAAGGGGAGGGAGAAAAGGCTACTTTAGAAACAGTACTCAGGGAGGCTCAATTCATCCCTCGCCCCCTCACCTGCCAACTTTTCTCTTGATTCTTCTACTGTTGTGTGTTCCTTGGGGTATTTTTGGTTTTCTGGATATTTACTCAGAATTCTGTTGCTATAGAATGCAAATCAAACTGTCCAGAACACTTGAGGTCAGTCCAAGACTTGAGAAAAAATACCAAAAGCTTTGAAATCAGCTGTGGCAAGAAAATAAAATCGATAAGAAAAATTGTATAGAAAATTATAAATGCAGGGGTGTCTGGGTGGCTCAGTTGGTTAAGTGTCTGACTCTGGATTCTGGCTCAGGTCATGATCTCATGGGTCATGGGATCGAGCCCCGTATCAGGCTCTGCACTGACAGCATGGAGCCTGCTTGGGATTCTTTCTGCCCCTCCCCCACTCACATTTTTTCTCTCACTCAAAAAAAAAACTTAGAAAATTATAGATGCAGCATTTATTATAGTGTCCTTCACAGATTTATGGTATATTACTGTATTTATCAAATCAAATATATTAGGAAACAAATCATAAATGACATAGTTAAGATTATAAGATGCTTCCTGATTTCAAAGGTGTTAAATGAGAAAAAAAAAGTACATATCTTAAATTGATGAAATATGGTACAGTGATTTAAAAGTATAAAAATGTGCCGTTTATATCCAAACTTATTTATTTACCTAATTATGATTTTAAAAATAAATATTAAAATGTGATGGATATTGGAAGAAAAAAGACCTTTGTGTATGGCTAGTTTGTTTTACTCTAGTTGTTTCGAAACAAACTGGAGTTTGTTCCCATTCTCTCCAAACACAAAATAATTCTCGTGCACTTCATCACCTAGAAGTTTGATCTCACTTTTGCTGCCAATCAGATCATATTATGTGGCCTAATGTGGTTCAGGAAACTAATTTCATACCTCACTCTTTATTGTTCCCAAAGTGTTGGGAGGAACAGATCTGTCGAGGCTAGAGAAAGAACAAACAGAGCGGCTATGACCTTCCGATCCCATCAGAGAGCAGGACAAAATGTCGCCAGCACAGCCTCCTTCTCTAGGGCCTGGGGGTGTTTATAAAACAGGGGTTGAAACGTTGATAGCTGCTCATTTCTGTTTCCCATCGGGCCGACCCAACACCAGCCCACCGTGAGGCGCCAAGAGCTTTACGGAGTGACCACAGTGCAGAGCTGCCTTAGCAGAAGCAGCGAGTGGCCACCACCACCACCACCCCCTTCTAGGCCTCTAGAATTCCTCGTGGGGCTCAGTCACCTCGTGTACATGGGATGTTTCATGGGCTCTACAGAAAGGCAGGATCGTGCCTGCCTCCCCTGTGATTCTATAATCACCTGCATGTGCTGTTTCTCCTAGAAACGAGAACATGGGTCTTCAGCTTATTCATGTCAGGCCTAGCGCCTCAGCAAGAACATGTCCGATAGCCCAGAAGGTGAGTGACATGGGTAGATCAAAACCTCTACCTCCGTGGTGGTGATAACGGTGGTGAACTGAATAACCCATAGAGTACTACTCCCCTCCTACGTTTGCGCTGTTTCTCTGTAGGGAAGAGATCAGGGAACAGGACTCTGGGAACAGACCACAGCTCTGCCTTCCATGGGTTTAGCATCAAAAAAAAGTAAGATACATAAACACATACAAAACTGTAAAATTATTAATTTAGGAAGACAAATAAAACTGTATAAAGGAAAACTGACGTTAATGAGAACAACAGAAGTTGGGTGCTTTGTCAGAGACTGCCAGTCAAGTCTACATTGATCCTGCATTTATTTCTTTATTCAAAAAAGTCGATCATTTCTTCATTCGAAAAATAATGTATCAGGTACTTGGTTTCTTTGTCTCAGTCTGGGCGCTAGGTCCAAAGACGACCCTTCCCTAGGGGTAAACAAGAGCAAGCGTGAGGGGATGAGAAATACATAGTTATCAAATAGCCAGAAGAGCTGGACTGTTGAAGAATCAGTAGAGGTTGAGCAGGCTGGTGCAAAGGGGATCCGACGCATACACCACAGCACAGCGCCCTGAAATCCCACCAGGGTGTTCAGGTGGCCGGAAGCACAAAGAAATTGAACACGAATTCTTCACCACCACCACCTCTTCTGAGTCCGTTCTAACTCCAAGGGATGCCTCCTCTCTTTATCCCCTCCCAGCCTAATTAACAATCAAGAGACATATATTGAGTAACTGCTATATACCAGGCATAACACAGTGAGGAATCCCTACAAGAAGAATTCAAAGGTACATGAGAGAACAGTCCCTGCACGTCAAGATCCTGGCACAAGGAACCTGTTCCTAGCAGGCGAGCTTCCTGAATGAATTTGGAGGGATGTGATCCAAGCTTGAGTGTGGCTGACACGCACATCGCTTCCCTGGGCAGGTGCACGCCGGCCACTCCCAGGCCTGCCTCCTCCGCCGCCTTCCTGGCTTCATCGTCACAGGAGGCAGGAAACCGCAACCTAGGCAGTCCTTCCCCAGCCTACGTCTGTGTTTTCCACCTCCGGGTGCTTGTCCCGTACAAGCTGCCTTCCCGAAGCACCTTGTGTGCCTCCGTCCCTTTTCCTGCCTCATCACTAGATTTGTTAGGGATCCCAACCACCGGATGCTGCCTAGCACAGCCATTCCAAAAGCAGGTTAATCTAACCCGAGTTCAGATCCAAGCCTTGCCGCCTACCGGCTGGGACAAGCTGCTCAACGGGAATTCACCGCTGCCTTGTTTGCAAAAGGGAAATGGGTCTTCCGGTATTTATCCACTCTAGAGAGTATTAAGCGTGACCCATTTGTGTAAAGTGCCCAGAACAGTGCCCATCACAGAGCAGCCATCCAAGATTACCAGTTTGTTTCTTGTCTCTCCTCCTCCACACACCCCAAGACACCGACAGTTCAAATCTAGCCGCCCTCGGAGCCCCACTAGGGGTACTTTGTATTGACTGCAGTGAAGCCACCCTGGTGAGCAAGTCCCCAGAAAGCCTTGGCGATTCCTCCCAGGATCAGTTTTCCCAGGGAGAGGTGGCGACACTACTGAATGCATTATCCAACATTTCTGTGTTGACAGCCTTTGATATTCCTGTCTCCGTTCAGTTGTTCTGTCCAGTTACAGGGCATGTGCTCTGTCCGATTCTGAGCTAAGTGAAGAGCAGTCCTACCCCGTCTCTGCACTTTAGGGAATGATGTTGAGTGTTTGCTTCGGCAGAACAGACACTAAAATTGGAGAGTAATATTAAAGAAAGAAAACCATTCAGCTCATGGTTTTCATTTGGGCTATATGCCAGAATCCCTCTAATTAGGTATCCAGTCCTGAGAACACTGTCAGCCCCGTAGCAGTGGGCGCGTGGGGGGCCCAGAAAACAGCCTTATTTGTGTGACCCAAACTCTGTACAGACGCCCCTGTTGGAATTCCACCTGTAGGTCAAGTTAGATTTTTAACCCCAGGCATAGTTTTTGATTTTTGTGAACTGGTCCCCAGGGGAGAGGGATGTTAAGACTAAGACATCAAGTGATGGAGGGTCCTGGCTGAAAGATTTGAGGACCTCGGTCAATCACGTGTGTCAAATGGATAGTTTAGTCAAGATAAAGGGCAGGCCCATGCTTCTGTGATTGGAAAACAAAGCTGTGATGATGACGGATGGCAAGGACTGTAGGTAGAGTTGCTGAGAGAACAAATCAGGACCTGTGACCGAGATCAGGTGGTACAGGCAATAAAATCCAAGAACCCCTGCTGCGATGCCTGCCTTTCAAAGGAAGGCAGAAGGGCCTTGGGTTCACAGGTGTAACTCTTTTAAATCCATCAGGCTCAGCTGGACATTGGTCTCTATCCCCATCCTCTGATCCCCAAGTCCTGCTCTGGGGTAGGGAGTATTAGAGCTTTTTCCAGATTTGCCTTGTGGAAATATGCAACATATGGAACATGTGTAAGACAGAAAGTGAGTGTCTAGATCACACCTAGGAAGCCTGGCGTTGGGGGGACAGGGTAGACAGCAATGAGGAAGGTATCTGGGAGCCAGGTTGAAATTGGAATAGGCATCCTGGTCAGGGAAGAACCAGGTCGCTAAAAGAAGTAAAATGAATAACTAGATATGTTATAGAAACCTACCAGCTGAGCCAGGTGCAAGCTGGAAGAACAGAGTTGATGATCATGGTCATAGAGGTGCTGGTAAAGGTGAGATTGGGTCAGTTTTCTGAGATACTGAAGTCAAAAAGCAGAGCACTAACCTTTGGGCCACAGTATGGGCAACAGGAAACAAAGACAGAAGAAAGAAATGCGATCAGAAAGGAGTAAACAGCACAGAACAGTATAATAAACCCTACATTTAAAAGGTTATTATTTCAAATCTTAGATATAATTGGTTTTAGCTCATGAGAATTGGAACCGCTGATCTCACCACTTAAATTGCTTCATTTTAGGCGTTCCAAATATACGCTGGCTGTGATCCTACTAAACGCATTGCTGTGAAAGGGCAAGTATATTTGCATTTGACCCGTCTTACTCTTTACATTTTAAAACAAATGGTGAACTACACGGTAATCACTGGTGGTACTATTAGCCTAATGACTGATACGTTCTTGATAAAATCCAAAGTTGAATTGACACTGGTGTCCAAAAGTTGGATTGACAGTTTGTTCGAACTAAATTTGTTTGAACTGTTTGCCGAGTCAAATCTCACATCTGAATCATCCAAACAGATAAAAAGAATGAACCTCTTTCCCTCTCACCAGCATTTTCCTCTGCCTTCCCTTTGAATAATCCAGTTCCCAGCTTCCTCCGTTAGCTCTCTCAGCTCTTCAACCTCCACCTCATCCCCAGAAAGTGAGAGGCAGCGACACTTACGTCTACTTCCCGTCCTACTCAAATCAGTCATAATCTCATCTCTGTCAGAGAATCGCTTGCATCCGCATCAGAGAAGCCTCACTTTCCTGCACCATTTCCCGTGGGAAATTTTTTTTCAGAGCAAACCTCTGAGAACCATCAGTGCTCCCTCCAGAGAACCCCAAGGTGGTGTGACTTCAACTGATCTTACTGTGATTCACGATGAAACACGCTGGATTTTGTCATCCACTTGCCAAAACTCTCTTCTGTAGTGTGACTCGGGGTCAGCATGCACAGTCCGTTCAGCTGAGAGAAACGGTGTACTTGACACAAGATGGTACTGCAACTCTTCTCCTGTGGTTGGGAGTAGGGTGAGCCGGGCTGCAGTGGCTCTTACCTGAGTCTATTTATGAAACGACTTGCTGTCATCCAAACAATTGTCTCTTCACCTGCCGTTCCAGTAATCTTTGGAGGATGGAATTGTAGTAATTGGTTGCTGGATTGGTGATAAGTTTTCTTATTTCATTCAGCAAGGAATTTGCATTTCCCATAATTCCTGTTCCAGGAAACACGAAGGCTAACTGATTTATACAGCGTAGAGCACCCTGCTTCTGGGATGGTCCATGTCCTTGCTCCTTAGAGAATGGTCAGGGGGCCAGCTCGGGCATCACTGGGAATTTATCAGAAATGCAGAATCTCTGGGCTTGTCCCACACCTGCTGAGACAGAACCTTTATTTTAACTAAATTTCCAGGCGGTTAGCAAGAGCATTAAAATTTGAGAATAACTGCTCTAAGTAATGTTACCAAAATCAATTCCCAGTACTAATGCACACAGAACCACCCCCGCCCCCCCATGCAGATCTCCTTCATCAGTGAAATGCAGCTTGAATCAGTCTGTTTCTGGGAGCGTCTACATAGCAATTGTCAGATAGCTGGTTGTTCTCCAGACCTACCTGAAAAGCATGGTTGAAAAACATAGATTTCAGAACCTTATTCCAGGCCTCTTAGTCAATGACCCACTGCTTTGGAACGCAAAAAATGACCCTCAGATCTTGAGTTCAGGTTGCGAGGGGCCTAAGGTTTTCACAGTTGTGAAAGGAGACCTATGGAGTTCAAGGTGCCCACGACAGGAGAGATGTCCGTGACAGAGGGCATCTCATGGGGTCTATTTGGAGTTTCAGGGCGGGAGATGGTGTAGACTTCCAATACCTCTCTAAACACATTGATGGCCAAGGTTCCTTCAGAGTTTCTCCCTTGCTGGAAGGACCCAGCAAAAATGGTCAAATGAATAATTTGACTTACTGAAAATTTTATCATTTTATAGACCATGATAGCCTTGTGTCTGTATGAATCCGAACTGGAAATTAAGTGAGCCCTTAAACTAGCCCCTTACCTGTACAACTGAGTCTCCAGTAACAATTAGGAATCTGTGTTTTTAAAAATATATGAGGAATAAAATAGTCAAAAGAAATGTACCTTATTTTGATAGATTTCCAATGAATTATTCCCATGTATCAAATATAGATAAAGCAATATATTTCAAATTCTGATGTCCTCAGAAACAGTTATGAAGCTGAGTTTTTAAAATAGAAATGCGAGGGCCACACACCAATCCCAGGATTCTAATTCAGTAAGTGATAATTTTGTGATACTTTCAAGTATGAGAATCACTGAGTTAAATGATTAAATGTTTGTTCAAGTATATAAAGAATGATGATATTACAACTTCATTATGTTTTACTTTTTTGTAGATTTAATAAAAAAGAATGTCTTCAGCATGATTTCTTTTACAATATTGAAAAGTAAGAAATAGTTTTAACATAAGCACTGAGTTTTATATTAATATAAAACCAATAATTTAGAATCAAGTAGTATTTATTCCTATTAACATCAGTCTTTTCTAAAATATGCAGGGGCGCCTGGGTGGCTCAATTGGTTAAGCATCCGACTTTGGCTCAGGTCAGGATCTCACTGTTCGTGGGTTTGAGCCCTGCATTGGGCTCAGTGCTGATAGCTAGCTCAGAGCCTGGAACCTGTTTCTGATTCTGTGTCTCCCTCTCTCTCTGGTCCTACCCCTGCTCACGCTGTCAATCTGTCTCAGAAATAAATAAAACATTAAAAAAAATTAAAATATGCATTAATTACTATGAATTTACCTCTAGGCACTGCTTTTGCTGCAACTCACAAATTTTTGATAAGTTGTGTTTTTATTTCCATTTAGTTCAAAATGTTTTACAATTTCTCTTAAGATTTCCTTTTTGACCCATGATCTATTTAGAATTGTGTTGTTTAATCGCCACACATTTGGGGAGTATTTTGTAATTATGTTTCTTTATTTAACTTTTGTAATACCTCCTTACCTAAACAAAGTAATGGTTTTAATTTTTAAGTTTGAAAAGAGGAAAGAAGGATAAGTAATGAAAAATTATTTTTTTACAGGTCATATTTGAGGAATAAGCCATCTAAAAACTTGGTAAGAAAACTATAATTTTATCAATCAGACAAATCTAGAAAGTAACTAAATCATTTTTCCTTTCTAGCGAGTAAAATATGATTGGAATGAATATGGCTGCCCATTAAGACTTGATTTTGGAGAAAAGTTTCACCCTGTGCTTCAACTGTAAGTACATTCTTACTAAAATTTTTAACTTACTTTGAACATTTCACAATGAAAGTATGAAAACAAAGCTAGTTAATCGTGCACGTAATAATAAATATCTTTGAGCACCCAATATATGCAACTCTAGGTTTTCAATACCAGCTGTACAAAGTTGGACTACCCATGGTGCCCGCCTGTTGAGGGAGCTTATAATTTCACCGCTGAGACATAGTGGATAACTGAGGCTTTTCTCAGGCATGCAGATGATCTTTTCACCCTTGCTGTACTCTCTCTCTCCCCAAGCTCTTACCAGCACCCCTGACTGTTTGATAGGAACCACCTTCCCGAGGTGACGTATGACTTTTCTTTCCATGGACCAACAATAACTGAAAGCTTGCAAGGAAACAAGCTACATTACCGATAAGGGATGGTACCTTGGGGAGATTTGAAAAATATTATCTCTCACTTAATTCTTAACAATGTTATTTTATAATAAGAATAAAATGCTTAAGCTTTTGCACGTAGTTTTATATTACTTTGCTTGTGTCTTTGATTTTATTCTTGATTTATGATTATAAGTAGGCTCCACACACAACATGGCACTCAAATTCATGACCCTCAGATCAAGACCTGAGCTGAAATCAAGAGTCTGACTCTTGGGGCGCCTGGGTGGCTTAGTCAGTTAAGCGTCCGACTTTCGCTTAGGTCATGATCTCGCGGTTCGTGGGTTCGAGCCCCGCGTCGGACTCTGTGCTGACTGCCAGCTCAGAGCCTGGAGCCTGTTTCAGAGTCTGTGTCTCCCTCTCTCTCTGACCCTCCCCTGCTCATGCTGTCTCTCTCTCTCTCCTAGAAATAAATACAAATATTAAAAAAAAAAAAAAAAGAGTCTGACTCTTAACTGACTGAGCCACCCAGGGACCCCAGGATTATAAAAGCTATGGAGCTTGTTGCAAAACTTAAAATATAGAAAAATATAAGAGCTAAGTGACCCATTTTCTAAATTTTTCTTTTGCTATTATAAACAAAATGGTAGTGAATATCTGCTTACATACATGTTTGGACACCAGTCCGGATATGCCATTAGGAAAAATTACTGGAAATGAAACTCCTATGTGTAAAATATCAAAATTTTAGTTAAGGCTTCAGGCTTTAGGGTTTGGGGGACCCCTTAGGCTAGAGACAACTTCTGAGGTCTCTGAGGGTGGGTAGGTGTGGCGTAGTGAATCAGATGCTCCAATGTAGTTTTGCTATGGGAATTTCCTTATTGGGACCCAGAAGTGCTGTGTCGTCATGTCCTGCCCACCACTCCTCACCCATGGCAGCTGTAAGATTCTGTGCTGTGCTCTCCTCATCATTGTCCTACATTCCCTCTGTCATGGGTCCTCCGAGCTATCAGGCCATTTTGCTATCTTCTTGAGGTCTGTTCTTCTTCTAGACATCTAATGATGCCACTGCTTCTCCTGAGAACCCTTGAAACTCCTTCCACCACTGAGGCCTCATTTTTCTCTTTATTTATGTGGCTTTGTTTTTTAAGTTTTTATTTTAATTCCTGTCAGTTAACATACGGTGTTACATTAGTTTCAGATGTACAATGTGGTGATCCAATAGTTCCACACATCACCCTGTGCTCATTATGACACATGCACCCCTTAATCCCCATCACCTATCTTTCCCATTCTCCCTACCTCCATACCGTCTGGTGGCCATCAGATTGTACTCTATAATTAAGAATCTGTTTATTGATTTGTCTTTCTTTTTTTCCCTTTCTTGTTTGTTTTGTTTTTTTTTAACTCCACATATGAGTGAAATCAGATGGTATCCATATTTCTCTGACTGACTGACTTCACTTAGCGTTATATCTCTTGTTCCATCCATGTCATTGCAAATGGCGAGATTTCATTCTTTTTTATGGCTGAATAATATTCAATCATACACACACACACACACACACACACAGATGATAGATAGATAGATAGATAGATAGATAGATAGATAGATAGATAGTCTTTATTCGTTCTTGATTCATTCACCAATCAATGGACACTTGGGCTGTTTCCATATTTTGGCTATTGTAAATAATGCTGATATAAACATAGGCTTGCATGTATCTCTTTGAATTAGTGTTCTTGTATTCTCTGAGTCTATACCCAATGGTGAAATTGCTGGATCGTAAGGTTCTTCTATTTTTAATTTTTTGCATTTCAGTTTTTCCAGATGCCCCAAAAATGGGTCTTGTTTTTTTATCCATTCTATCACCCTATGTCTTTTGATTGGAGTGTTTAATCCACTTACATTCAAAGTAATTATTGATGGGTATAAACTTACTGCAATGTTATCACTTTGTTTATTACTTGGTTATTTCTCAAGATTTTTCTCTGATCCTTTCTTGGCTTTCCCTCATGTTTTGTTGATTTTCTTTAGTGATATATTTGGATTTCTTTCTCTTTATTCTTTACGTACTTATTAGCAGTTCTTGATATATGGTTAGCATCAGGTTTGTATATAACCTTTTCTGTGTAGCAGTCTATATTAAGTTCATGGCCATTTAAGTTTGAAACCATTCTCTTCGCCTCCCCTACCCATGTTTTAAGTATATGTTTTATATCCTTTTTTGTGCAAGCTCCTTGACTGATTTTTTTTTTTTTTTTTTACAGAACTATTCATTTCTTTAGTGTTCCTTACCTCTCTTCTTTTCTATATGTAGTAGTGGAGTCTGTTCTACCAGTCCTCAGATGACTCTCTGGTTTATTGATTTGGATGTGGGTGATATCTAGTTGAAGATGTGGGATGGGGTAAGCTCAGGGTCCTCCTATTCTTCCATCTTCCCAGGCCCCTTGTTTGTTTCGTTTTTGTTTAATGCAGTGCCTAATCCCCCAGGGGTACATAATCTTAATGTTCTCTCCCAGAGAAGTGTACTCTTCAATTCATTATTATTAAACACCTTTGAACCTTTTGCTCTGCTAGGCCCTGGGAATTCAAAGAGAAATAAGATAGGATTTCTGTTCCCAGAGCTCAAGAGCTTGATGAGTTAGATAAACATATGAACTGATATGGAATAATTAAAAAAAAAAAAGGAAACTCAAAAGAAAAGAATCCAACCCAGCTGTGGAAGCGAGATGAGTTTTGAGCAATATTTCCAGAATAACTTGCATTTGAGCTGAGTCACTGAGTCTTAAAGGATAATGAATCTTTAGCTGAAGGCGGGGAGGGAAGAAAAGTGGGAAAAGTGATAGCGAACTCCACTGGGTGAGCCTTTCAAACAAAAATGATGGTGAGGAATAAACTCACTCATCAGTGAGTAAAATAAATATTTTACTGTTGCACAGTTCAACAGTAAAATGCTGTTGGGGCATTAAGTGAGGCATGAGGTGTCAGGCCACGAGGCTGGGAAACTAGACAGGTGGAGTCCAGCTCATGGGAGATTTTCTGTCCATTCTGTGGTAGAGTGGCATGATCAGATATTTGCCTTAACTAGTTCTCTCTGGGAAAAATGTAGAAGATGAATTTCAGGAAAACAGGTCCAAGTAGGGAGACCAGGTAGTAAACTATGCTGGTAGTCCATGGAGGTAAAAAAAAAAAAAAAAAAAGAAGCAAGGACAAAGAAGAGGAATTATTTATCAGAAAAATGAGTGATTATAAATGGTCGGGCTTGACAACTGATTGATAACGATAACTGACAGAAGACAAGAGAGAATGAGGAAGACGAGTGAGTCCCAGTGACATCAATCAGAAGAGAGCTCCACAAACTTCCACCACTTATCTACTCATCTGCAAACACCTGTACCCTTGAACTCTGTCTATCTTCCTATCATCATAGGTGAACTACATATACATGTAAGGCCCCCATCTCCATCTGGACCCCCACCTGCTTTCCGAATTAAGAGCATTGCTCCTGAAACTGGCCCCTCCTCCTCCCACATCATCGTTTGCCTCCTGACTGTATCATCACAGAAATCTGCAGTTCTCCCCTCATTAAAAACAAAACACACACACAAAACCCCTCTCTTGACCCCACTACCTCTTTAGCTACCATACTCACTGGGACTCACTCTTCTCCCCTCCCCCAGCCCCTCTCAGTGGCCTCCATATTGCTACGCCCAGTGGTCAGTCCAAGGACTCACCCTATGTGACCTCGTTAACAAGAATTGCATAGCTGGTCACTCTCTCCTACTTGAAATGTCTTCTTCACCTGGCCTCCTGGACATCACATTTCTCCTACTTTTCCTGCTACTTCGTGGTACCGTACCATAAACCAAGTGCAAAAGACAGGGTGGCTGAAAGGTTTGCTTACGGTGTCTTTAACTACAGATTTTTTTAAATTGTGGTAAAATATGCACAACAATAGATAGTGAGCATTTGGATGTATATATTGTATAGTTAGCCAATGCAATACTGCACAGCAGGTTAAAATGGATGAACTAAGATGGTTATAAGAGGGAATCAGATGGTCAGTCACAAAGTTCAGGTTGGATATGGAAGGAAGAGTTGCCGGGAGAGATCAAGAGACTGGAAACTTCTATGGATCCATCTTGAAACCTAATACTGAGTGTGGGGGGATTACCAAAATATACGTACAGTGTAATATCATGTATGTCTATTTACAAACCCACAAAGAAATACTGTGTATGATTTCTGGATATATTTATGTATGAGTGAAGTTTAAAACCTAGATGGGAATGATGTATAACAACTTTCACATATTTGAAATGTGAAATTTCTGCATATTTGAAATATTTCCTAACTAAAATGAAATAAGCTACAGGAGCCAGGTCCATGAAGAAAACTGGAGAAGTAGCAAAGTCCCAGATGGCAATGTTTTTTGTTTTTTTTTAAATATTTTTATTTATTTCTAGGAGAGAGAGAGAGACAGCGTGAGCAGGGGAGGGTCAGAGAGAGAGAGGGAGACACAGACTCTGAAACAGGCTCCAGGCTCTGAGCTGTCAGTCAGCACAGAGCCCGACGCGGGGCTCGAACCCACGAACCGCGAGGTCATGACCTAAGCGAAAGTCGGACGCTTAACCGACTAAGCCACCCAGGCGCCCCCTAGGTGGCAATGTTGAAAGAAGAACCAATTCATCCTCTGAGACTTCGGGGGAAGGAGTCAAATTAAATGTAGAAAAGACTGCTTTGGAAAGAGGAGTGTGGGAGTGGAGAGAGGTCACGTCTGACAGCCTCAACCTACTTACATGAAACAGAAGGGACCTCTTGTAAACTGGGAGCCCCCAGGGGTTGGGGAGGGGCTTTCGGAGGGTGTCAGGGGTCACCGAGGGTAATGTGAGAAGGTCTGGCTAAAGGGACCAGTAGAAAGGTGATCAGACAACACCGAAGGCACAACTGAGTTCAGACACCACGAGTGCGTTCAGTCCCACATCTTTGAATTCTCAGGTAGCATGGGCATGAAGGCAGAAGGCACAGCGTGGCAGCCAAGGCGGGGGTGAGATGTTGGAGGCAGGGCCAAAGCAAGTGAATGAAGCCAGGATGCTGGGCCGGGAGGAAATTGCCTATAGGAGGAAAGCCGAGAGGGGTCGGGACTGGAAGTCTGGGGAGGTCAAGGGGCAGATGAGAGGCTGTGAGGGCTGAAGAAGGCGGGGCCGGAGAGCAGACAGCAGCAGCCCTACTTTGGACCACGTGGGGTTACTTACTTACATCTCTGGTACCAGGACTCACTTGATAAAGCATGTTGCTTCCGATTCATTCTCCTGGGATACTTAACCCAGCTGTTAAAGCATCACAAACAAAGAGGAAAAGACTTGGTTAATGCCGTGGGCTACCTGAGTGGCCATGCAGGACTGAAAACATATGCATCCAGGGGATCGACAGAGAGGTCTCGCCTTCTGAATTCCAAAAGGGAAATTCACAGGGGAGAAATTACAAGTTGAGGGAAGTTACTTGCCAAGTAGTGACATTTCGGAATTTCTCAGGTCTCACTGGTATCATATCATTTTAATGAACAGTAATGAAAATAAGCCATGCTTACACGGGCAAGTACTTTTGTCCTATATGCTCGATGAAATAAATAAAACATCATCAAAGAGCACTCATTCTAAACCCAGGAAATATGGGATCATGTAATTTATCCTTATTGCCACTAGATGGCACTATAGCTCATTGCTTTTGTGAGTGTCAAAAGCTGTGGGCTCCCAGTTGAACCAAGATCTTTTTTTGAATTTAAATAAAAGGTATGGCTTTACAACTAGTTCTTAATAATTCAGGAGTGGGACGGTTTTCAGAAGATGCAGTCGAGCATGCTGCACCTTCCAAATCTGGAATGAGAGCTTCGCTAAAGCCTGCCCCAAATCTCGGAAACTGCCTACAACGTTGTGTGTCACACACATGTGTGCATTTTCCTGTGGGAGGAACTTTAGAGTTCCTCCAGTGCTGGGAAGAAGGAAGCTAACCCCTAGCTCGTCACACCTGAGTTCACGCCTTTATGATTCCTAAAAACGAATTAAGATGAACATAAAATAGCTTCCTCAGATACCACTTCCTGATGTGGAAAAATTCCCTGGCCAGCTGGTTTTTACAAGCAAGAGGGGATGGCGTCGGGCTGTAGGAGACGTGGAGCCCGTGGAGCGACCGGAGACGTCGGGCAGAGACGCAGGCAGTGGGTAAAGAAACGGTGTCAAGGACCCATGACCTTTTATGGAGGAACACAAACGTGGGAAGCAGAACGTATCAGACCTGCGGCAGTATTCCTAGAGTCAGAGCCCAGAAGCAAGTACCTGAGACCAAAGTCCTAAGTGAAATTTCCATCCGGGGGCGGGGGGGACATTCTCTTTCAGAAAAATAAGCAGAGTGACCATGTTTAAAAACAAGGCAGCAAGGTCTGGTATGCACAGCTGTAACTTCACCAGTAACTGAACCTGAACTTTGGCCTCAGGCCCGTTTCCATCTGGTCGCAAGAAAACAATAATGACCTTAACGATGTGAAGGAACATCCCTTTGGAAACTCACTGAATTGGGGGTGAATACTCTAAGCTCAATGGGGCCGATGTCTCCAGTGCTGGCATCTGGGGAGTGGGTTCCCTGTCTGCTGGGGTCTGCCGGGGGTGGAAGCCATCACGAGTTCTCTGGGCACGAGCTGCACACGGCTGTGGCTCCGGGGGGCTGGCGAGCACTCCGGCTTCTCGGCCCCTTGTCAGGTCTCACTGCTGCTGCCCGTCCCCTGACACTCAGCCCTGAACCCCAGCCGGGTCCTCCCGGGAGATCCAGAGCATTAGCTCTCATAGTGACTTTGTGCTTTAATTCACTGGCACAGAACAATCACCCAAAGAATGTGTGTGGGTTCAATGACACCAGGGGCCCTTGCTGTGCCCTTCCTCTGTCATCCCTTCGGTCTTTCTCCCTGTACATAGTTCCTGTCAAACTGAAGAGCTCTTCTGGCTCCAGCTGTTACAACGGTGACATTGGTCTGGTTTGTTACTATGAGGTGGATTTTGAGAGCTGAAGGAAACCTGTGCCGAAGGCACAGTTGTTATTTTACAGATAAGTGAGGATATCGAGGCTTCCAGAACATAAGTCACCTCCCCAGGGCCGCATGGCTGGCTGTTCAGGGATAAAGACAGGACTGAAAAGGAAGCCCACCAGGCGGGAAAGCCGCCGCTCCTAACCCCTGTCCTTTACCCCTCAACTACTATTGTTGTGCTTGCTGTCTCACGCAGATTCAATGAAAATGGCTATATTGAAGACGTGGAAGTCAATTTCATCGTGTGGGAAATCCACGGCAGGAATGACTACAGCTTTAATAACACTATGAAGAAGGTATGTGTCGTCCCATGTTTAAATCTATATATAAATTATCTGAGGAAAATAGAACCGGCTACACGTGGGTAGAAAACAAATACGACCTATGAATTAAATTTTGTGACTACTGAAATTCATTTGCCCTGAAAGAAGCTCTGGTCATATACACAGACGTAGGGGCGCCCAGGTGGCTCAGTTGGCTGAGTGTCCAACTTGTAATTTCGGTTCCAGGGCACAATCCGAAGGTTGTGAGATCAACCCCACATCGGGCTCCACGCTGGGTGTGGAGCCTTCTTGAGATTCTCAGTCTCCCTCCTGTCCCTCTCACCCACCCACCCAAGCCCTCATTCTCTCTCTCAAAAGTAAAATAATAAAATAGAATAATTTACAAACAGACTTAAAGAGGTCAGAAAATAAAAGATGTTTATCTCAGGAGGATGCAATTATAGGTGAATATTTTCCCCTCGCTCCACACTATATTTAGTGTTTGATAAATTGTGGGTCTGCCTCTGCCCCTCATACATTCACCACGCTTGTGCTAAATGAAAGGCACGCTCTCTAGGTTTCATGTCACTTGACTTCTCTGAATATTTGACTCGCTGACTTTGGCTTTACTGTCCCCACACTCTCCCGGTTTCCCTCCACCCTCGGACTGGTCGATCTCAGCCTCCCTGGTGACAACTTTGCAGGTCTTGTCAGGAAGGCCTCACCCCTCCTGGCCACCACACTTCACTCCCCTGTGCGGTCTTCTGCCTTGAGGACCTCCCATCGCGATGGAGCCTCTCCAGAAGTCACCAGCATCGAGTCCTGCTTTTCCCCAGAGATCTCAAACTCAAACAAAGGCAGGGATGACTCCTCCCAAAGGAACTTCCTCATCTGTCAGAGACCTTAATTCTCCAAGGAGAACCGACCCAGATAGCAGCCAAGAGACAATGAGGTGCACCTGCTACCCCTCCAGGATGTTGCAAGAACTAATCGTCTTTTAATTATGTGGCCCAACAAACCCATCCCACGGTGTTCCTCCTGCACTTGTCCAGTGCCCAACATGTGATTCCTTCCCAACTACCCTCTCCCCACAGTCTCATCCCCAAACTATTGTGTTCTTCTTACACCTGGGCCCATATTTCCTGGCCCCCATTCCTCTCCACCTTCTCAAACCTTTCTAATATACCCTGGGGTTCAATGCCCTTGACCCTTCTTCAGTAGACCTTCCTCAGACAATACAGTTCCCCCTGTTTTCCTCTCAAACTAACGGTTCTCTTTCTCCACCCCCCCCCAGTGTATTTCAAGATGAGCTGCAGAACTAAAGTGCTCCCTAATCCACAGTTCTCATTGCCAGATCAATAACCCCATCACCCTAACTCAAGTGTGATTTGTTTGAGGCCCCTGTCACCCAGGTGTCATGTACCCACCCCTGGGCCGTTGCTGTCACTCACGCAGAACTTGCTGAGTCCTCCTCATGGCCTGAAAGCAGTCACAGTTGACCCCTGACTTCAGCCAGCCATCACATACGGCTGTTGCTAGGAAGAGGCTTTCTAAACAGGGATGACGCTTCCCAGCCCTGTTTGCATCTGGGTGGGGCCAGGTGACTGGTTCTCACCACCCCGGAATGAGCAGAAGGGATATGTGTCACGTGCAGGGTGAAGGGCTAAAGAAGAGATCACGTGAACTTCCGTGCTTCCTGCCTTCCTCCACATGTCAGTCTATTACAGCAACAATTAAAGATGGAGTAGATGCAGGCTGGGTAAGAAGGATCCATGAGGGCTCTTCACGGGGCCACTAGACAGAAAAGCCACTCCACTACTTGAGGAGAGCCATCCATAGGAACCATCTCACTAGGACTATGTGTGATCAGGAATTGAACTTGAATTCATAAAAACCGTGAGGGTGGGGGTTTATAGCAGCACAGCAAAGCCTGCCTTGACCGAGACCAGCCCCCCTGTTATAATTACATTTAAATTCAAATGCTCCGGGGGCACCTGGGTGGCTCAGTCGGTTAAGCCTCCAACTCTTGATTTCAGCTCAGGTCATGATCTCATAGTTTCATGAGATCAAGCCCCACGTCGGGCTCTGGGCTGACAGTGTGGAGCCTGCTTGGGATTCTCCTTCCCTCTCTGCCCCTTACCTCCTTGCACTCTCCCTATTTTTCTCAAAAATAAATAATATGTAAAAAATTTTTTTAAAAATTGTAAATGCTAACACTCCAGTCTCTGACCTCAACCCCCAATTCTCTAGCCCTGTGGTTTTTATTCCCACTACTCCTCTGCCTCTTTTCCTTGCACACATCTGGACATCCACCATATTGAGCCCTCTGCTCTCTCCATCTCTGCCACCCCCACACTTCCTCTTCTCCTGCCTAACTTGAGCTCCATGGTTTAGTCCTTCAGCCACCATCTTGCCAATACCTGCAAGTCACCTTCCCCACTGCTGTTCCCGTGCACCATGCGGCAACTTTCAACATCGATCATTCTGACTTCTCCATGCCTCTGAGCTGCCGATCGCTTCTAGAGACAAAAAAAAAAAAAAAAAAATCAAAACTGCAGTAACTGAAGAATTCGACTATTAGGAGTGATGGCTGAAAACAGAATTAACCAACTGTAAGAGAGGTCAGAAGGAAATGCCCAGAACTATGCACAGGGAGATAAGCTGATTGAAACTATAAGCAAGAACATGGTGGAGATTCACTGTCTACATCTAAGGACTGGAGTCCTAAAAAGAGAGGAGAGAGAGTGTTGGGCAGAAGCAATATTTTCCCAAACTGGTGAAAGACATCAAAGCACAGAAAAAGTAATCTGCATCCAGAAACACTATGGTAAAATTTCTGAAATCCAAAAGAAAGAGAACCTTAAAAGTAGTCAAAGCAAAAAAGAAAAGGTGCCCTCAAAAGAGTAGCTATAAGTCTTAAAGCTTATTTCTTTATAGAAATAATGCAAACCAGAAAACTTCGAACAAAAATATCTTTAAATTGCTGAACGAAAATAAATTCCAAATCTAAAATTCTACATGCAATGAAAATCGCCATTAAAAATGAAAGTGAACAACAGATAACGCTTTAAAAGACATGGGAAATTAACAGGGGGAAATCTTTAAAGTCAAAAGAAATGAACAATGGGATAAAAAGGGTTTCAGAGCAAGTGACAAATACGGAAGTTAGGCAAAGGAGATCGAAAAGATGGGTCAATGGAATCCCTAAAAAAGAAAACCGGAACAAAGGAACAAAACCAATGCTAATCATTCAGGAAAACATCTCTCCCACCCACCCCTCCCCCCCAACCCTGGCCAAGAAAAAAAGACTTGAAGCTTCATATGGAAAGAGCAAAGAATATCAGAACAGGAGCGCCTGGGTGGCTCAGTCATTTGGGCATCTGACTTCGGGCTCAGGTCATGATCTTGCAGTTCATGGGTTCAAACCCCACATCGGGCTTTGTGCTGACAGCTCAGAGCCTGGAGCCTACTTTGGATTCTGTGTGTGTGTCTCTCTCTCTGCCTCCCCCCACCCCCCACTCATGCTCGCTCTCTGTCTCTCTCTCTCTGTCAAAAACAAACATTAAGAAACAAAAAGAATCTCAAAACAGCCAACCCAAGTGAGCATGTAGGCAAAAAAAAGCAAGCAATTCACATGTAAGGAAAATAAAGTTATTGTTTTTGTAGCAATGCTTTATGCCAGAAAGAAAAATGGAGTAAAGTATTTAAGATACTAAAGGAAAATAAACACTGAGCCAAAGATTTCATATTCAGCAAAACTGAGGACTCTAGAAAAGGCACAAACTGCTATTAACATGTAAAAAGCTCCGATGATATTGTTCCCATGAGCCCTTCCTGGGTAACTTACTAAACAATAACCTTCAAACAATGACAATTACTACTAAAGAGGCAGCAACATAAGAACTAGAGGAAGGTTTGGGGTGCCTGGGTGGCTTAGTCGGTTAAGCGTCCGACTTTCGCTTAGGTCATGATCTCGCGGTTCGTGGGTTCGAGCCCCGTGTCGGGCTCTGTGCTGACTGCCAGCTCAGAGCCTGGAGCCTGTTTCAGTCTGTAACTCCCTCTCTCTCTGACCCTCCCCTGCTGACGCTGTCTCTCTCTCTCCTAGAAATAAATAAAAACATTTGAAAAAAAAAAAAAAAAAGAACTAGAGGAAGGCATAAGATAGAGTTACTTACAAATGAAGCAAAGCAAGGGTTAAAAGGGAAAGAGAATAGTGTATAATGGATGTATCCTGACAATAGAGGTATAATACAATTATAAAATAAATAGGAGAATGTTAAGATCATATGCCAGGGGGAAAATATAGCTGTTTTCAATAATCACGATAGTGTTGGTAATATTAGTTATTCGGATGTTGTGAGGTATGTAATGTGAGATATTCTAATACTGTCATTCTCCATCAAGTTTTTTGGCATAAAAGCAAGGAGACACATATGTAAAGTAGAAGAAGTTACACAAAAAAATCCTGAATTTGAATAGGACTCAAAATAAACTCATGAGGTACTAGAAACTCATATGATTTGGATATAATATATTGTTCATAGAGAGAGAAATTTTTCCTATGCTGTCCATTAAAATCCCTAGAAACATAACTAATCAGTACAATTATTCTCAGTACTCAGATGGTTACCTTGAAATATTATTTCTCACTAAAAATAACTGGGAATTCTTAAATAACTAATTCCAAGCCTGGAGGAGGAAATGTACTTGATGGGTTTGGAAGAGTTTGGCATACCCTATAGCAGGGAAGTGCCAAAGGCTGCTAGGGTTATGTCGAAAGTCATCTGAAGTGAACATGAAGAGGTTCCTACTGGCTAGAGACAGGACAATCCGAGCTTCCTCAAGGATAATTACTGCAATATTGCCAAACATGTTAAACCTATGAGTTAATAAAGATTTTTTTCAAAAAGATGCCTTTGGAGAATGATATAAAACCAACTCCTTATTTTATTAATTGGCAAATAAAGACAAAGACACAAATATTTCTACTACTTGCTTCAAATGAACTATACCAGTGGGTAACCAAGTAATAGATAAGGAGAAACATCTCTTTATAAAATTCTTCCAGTGAACAAATGGAAAAAGAGAGAGAGGGGGAAAGAATTAGAATATCACCACTTTAAGCCCAAATAATAGAGGTTACTATAAACAAATTTATATTAACAAACTTGACAGTGAAGAATTGGATAAAACAGACAAATGCTGTGAAAAATATAATTTACCAAAGTTTCTTATATTCAAAGCAAAAAACAGACATCTCTAATCCCAGATGGCTTTCCTGATGAAATCTACCAAATGTTTAAGGACTTTTCTCCTTCAGCTTTTTAAAAACTCCTCCACAGTATTCAAAAGTATTCCCAACTCATTTTGTGAGTACAGAGCGACCTGCTGACGACCTTAAAAGAAAAGGGAATTATGAGCCAATCTCACCCATGACCACAGATACAAAGCACTGAACCAAAACACTGGCAAATCAAACTCGGCAATCTATTTAAAAATCACACATTTTTGTTCCGACAAGTTTTGTTTATTTTATAAATGAAGAGTTGGAATGTCATTTAAAAATCAAAGAGATCCAGGGGCGCCTGGGTGGCTTAGTCAGTTAAGCGTCCGACTTTCACTTAGGTCATGATCTCACGGTTTGTGGGTTCGAGCCCCGCGTCGGGCTCTGTGCTGACTGCCAGCTCAGAGCCTGGAGCCTATTTCAGTCTGTGACTCCCTCTCTCTCTGACCCTCCCCTGCTCACGCTGTCTCTCTCTCTCTCTCCTAGAACTAAATAAAAACATTAAAAAAAAAATCAAAGAGATCCACTATATTAACAGAATAAAGGAGAAGAAGCATGGATTATTATAATAGCTGGAAAGCCATGAGATTAAAAAATTATTCATACTAACATTATTTTAAAAATATATCTTGGAATTATCAGGGTCATGAGTTTAAGCTCCACATCGGGAGTGAAGCCTACTTTAAAAAAAAAAAAAAAAAAAAAGAATAACACCAAAATAAATCTTAGAAAGTTTTAAGTATATGGTAACTTCCTTAACCTGATAAAATATAAGTACCAAAAAAACACACCAAAAACAAAAATAAAACTATAGAAACTTCTTTCTCAGTGGTGAAAATGTGAAAGCTTTCTCTCTGGAGTCAGGAGTGAAATGAGGGGGCCAGTTTTCCCCACTTCTATGCAACACTGTTTCTCATCTCTGTAATAAGGCAAATGATACAATACAAATTAATTAAAAGCATGAGAACTGGAAAGGAGGAAATAAGACTGTCCTAGTCACTGGTAACATTACTTTTCATGTGAAACCCTTAAAATAAGGTCAATATACAAACATCAATGGTTCCCCTTTACATCAGCAAACATTTAAATAATGAAAACAATTAAATATACATTTTTCAATGACATTAAATATATTAAATATTAGCAATAAATTTGTATACAAAATGTGTGTGTATGTACAACACATATGTGTGTGCACAAGTTCTTATTAAGTTTTTTATTTTAGTTCCAGTATAGTTGACCTACGGTGTTATATTCGCTTCAGGTACACAATATAGTGACTCAAAATTCCATACATCACCTACTGCTCATCCCAAACACGGTCCTTCATTCCATGACCTGTTTCGTCCATCTCCCCCACCCTCCTCCATTCTGGTGACCATCATTGTGTTCTCTACAGTTAAGAGTAGATTTCTTGGTTTGTCTCTCTTTCTTTCCTTTGCTTGTTTTGTCTCTTAACTTCCTATCTGTACACTTTTTTGGCAGAGTGGTTGTTTAAATGAAGCCCAGACTTGGAAGTCAATGATTGCACGTAACAAACACCTCCCACTAGGAGAGGTCTGGGGGCCTGAGGTAAGGAAATTATCACCCAGCAAACTTTATATATAATAACTAAATTGGCATTTCGGCATTAACAAAAGATTCATGGAAACATTTTGGATTTAAATTGGTTTTTGCAACTCAAATCCAATTTTTCTATCGGATTAATATTATGATTTCAAAAATGCTCCATCTTATTTCTGTTTGGTCTTCCATTGCTCCTGTGATACTAACAATTTTAACTTTTTTCTGCTGAAATCTGTTTGCAGATTTATTAACTGTCTGACAAACAGGTTGAAGCATTGAGAGTAAGTCTTTCTAAAGAACACCTGAAGTTTCAATTCTTATACAACGAAAAGACCACTTCTGAATGCCAACTATCGGTCCTATACTATAATATTTTCAATTTTCTTCCATCAAACTTTCTTCAGTTGAAATTAATTTATGTTATATGAAGAATCAAATCATGTCTCATGAATAAAAGGGAGCTATACAGTACCTGAGCCTGTAAAATGTAAATCCTACAATGAGAATGTTACTTTACTTCTACATCAGAATCTATGCATGTCAAGACAGAGATCTGTACCAAAAAATGTGTATTATCCTCTATATTCCCAGCCCTAAACATCCCACTTCCCATCCACCACTCTTTACCCTTCCAGCAACATAACCCTAGAACCTTTACTATAATGATCCTTTGGACAATCCTTCAACCTCAAAATGACCTTCAATCCAGTGACCCCACCATCCTCACTCCACCCCCAGGTTCTCTTGCTCTTTGTGCAGCTTAAATTCCATGGTCAATAATTATATCACTCTGTTGATATGTACCCTCAATTCCCTCCTTCCTCTCACTTCTTCATGTGGCTAAATCACAACCCTCATTAAATCCAACTATCCGCCTTGGCATCTGACTGGTGGTTGGAGGAAAACATACCCCTGCTGACTGGTTTCACTTTAATCTCATGATTAAAACAGTCCCTTAATACTGCCCAACAAACATAGGTGTATTTCTCCAGATCATTCCCTTCTCCCCCCTAGCTATCACACATACTTTCTCCTTTCTCCTACAATCTGCAACACCTCTTCCCCTAGAAAAGGATTCTAAGGTTTTTGTCTTTGTTTCCTGTTCAGAACTATAAGCACTGTTTTTCTTATGCTATCGGAAAACCGGGAGACCTGAATCAACCATATGAGATCATCAACAAGTCTAACTATAACCATTTAGTTTGGCCCGTAGACCATTCTGGAATGTATGTGTTTCGTGTGAAGATCCTGGATCCAAACTATAGGTGAATATAGATATTTTATGATAATAGTTTTAGCATTTAAAGGGATAATCATGAGGTTGAATAAAATTTCCACTATGCTCTACAAAGTCCAATAAATGAGTCACACTAAACACGACAACATCACATAAGGCAAGAGGGAAGAAAATGCCTAGAAGGAAAAATAAAAATGCTATAGGATCTGGGGTCACCATTACTAGAAGAGATTCATGAAACACTGACCCAAAAAGATATATGCACCCCCATGTTCATGACAGCATTATTTATAATAGCCAAGACATGGAAGCAACCTGAGTGCCCATTAATGAGGGAATGATAAAGAAGATGTAGAATATATATGTACGTATACAAGGGAGTATTATTCAGGCAGAAAAAAAGGAAATCCTCTACCTCAAGAAGGAAGAAAAATCTGAAATAAACAACTCAACTTTATACTTCATAGAACTAGAAAAAGAAGAAGGCCCGGAGTTTGTAAATGAAAGGAAATAACAAAGATCAGAGAGGAAATAAATAGAGACTAAAAAGACAATAGAAACTAAGTTGGTTTTTGAAAAGGTAAACAAAATGGACAAATTTTTTGCTAGCCTCAACGAGGAAAACAGAGAACTCTAATAAATAAAATTAGAAATGAAAGAGAAGTTACAACTGATACCAAAGGAATATATGGGATCATAATAGACTACTATGAACAATTATATGCCAACAAGTTAGACAACCTAGAAGAAATGGGTAAATTCTTAGAAACCTACAACCTACCAAGACTGAATCATGAAGAAAATGGAAAATCAGGGGCACTTGGGTGGCTCAGTTGGTTGAGCATCTGATTCAGTTTCAGCTCAGGTCATGATCCCAGGGTGGTGTTATCAAGCCCTGCATCTTGCTCTATACTGAGCATGGGAGAGGGGCATTTCTCTTTCTCTCTCTCTCTTGTTCGCTCACTCTCAAATTAAAAAAAAAGAAGAAGGAAAATCTGATTAGACTGATTTCTAGGAAGGAGAGCAAATCAGTAAGAAAGAAAGCTCTCAACAAACAAAAGTCCAAGACCAGATGGCTTCACTGGTAAATTCTACCAAACGTTTAAAGAATATCTAACCTTCTCAACTCTTCTAAGAAATACAAGAGGAAGGAATAGTTCTAAACCCATTTTATGAGGCCAACATTAACAAGTACCAAAGCAAGACAAAGATACCACAAGAAAAGAAAATTACTGGTCATTACCCCTGATGAACATAAATACAAAAATCCTCAATGAAATATTACCAAACCATATTCAACAATACATTTAAAAAGGGCCATATACCATGATCGAGTGGCATTTATTCCAAAGATACAAGGATGAGTTACAGCTGCAAATTAACCAGTGTGATGTGCCACATTCACACAATAAAGGGTAAAATCATAATGATCATCTCAATAGGTGCAGAAAAGCATTTGACAAAATCCAACATTCATTTATTATTTAAAAAAAAAAAAAAAACTCCAACAAAGTGGAGAAGGAACATACCTCAACATACCAAAGGGCATATATGACATGGTTAACAACATAATGAATGCCGAAAAGCTGAAAGCCTTTCCTCTAAGATCAAGAGCAAAGATGAGAGACAAAGACACCCACTTTTACTTTTGTTCCACATAGAACTGGAAGTCCTATCCAGAGCAATTAGGCAAGAAAAAGAAATAAAAGTCATACAAATCAGGTGACATATTATATTGAAAATGCTAAAGAGTCCACCATAAAAAAAAAAAAAAAAAACCTGTTAGAACTAATAAACAGGTTCAGTAATGTTTCAGGAGACAAAAAGGAATATATAAAAATCAGTTGTGTTTCTATATACTAATAATGAACTATCAGGCAGAGAAATTAAGAAACAATCTCATTTACAATTGCATCAAAAAGAATAAAACACCTAGGAATAAATTTAACCAAAAAGTTGAAAGATCTAGACACTGAAAATTATAAGACAATGATGAAAGAAATTGTAGAAGACACCAATAAATGGAAACATATTCCATGCTCATAGGTTGGAATCATTAATATTGTTAAAATAGCCAAAGCAAACTACAGATTCAATGCAATCCCTATCAAAATTCCAATAGCATTTTTCACAGAACGAGGACAATCCTAAAATTTATATGGAATGGAATGATGACAAACCCAAATAACCTAAGTCATCTTGAGAAAAAAGAACAAAGTGAGAGGGATCCCCCTCCCAGATTTCAAACTATCCTACAAAGCTATAGGAATCAAAATAGTATGGTACTAAAATCAAAGCAGACACATACATTAATGGACAGAATAGAGAGAACAGAAATAAACCCACGCATACATAGTCAATTTATTATAAAGGAGCCAAGTAAGAATATACCAGGGGGAGGGAGGAGACAGTCTCTTCAATAAATGGTGTTAAGAAAACTGGACAGCCACATGCAAAGGAATGAAACTAGACCCCTATCTCACGCCATACACAAAAATTGACTCAAAATGGATTAAAGACTTGAATGTAAGCCCTTATATCATAAAACATAGGTAGGAAGCTCCCTGACTTCAGTCCTGGCCATGATTTTTTGAATCTGACACCAAAAACAAAAGCAACAAATGCAAGAATAAAAAAGTGGAACTATGTCAAACTAAAAACCTGCTGCACAGCAAAGGAAGTCATCAACAAAATGAAAAGGCAACGTCTGGAAATCACACATCCAATATGGGGTTCATCTGCAAAATATACAAAGAACTCCTATAACACAATTCAAAAACAAACAATCCAATTAAAAAATAGGCTGAAGATCTGAATAGACATTTCCCAAGACATACAGATGGCCAACAAGCATATGAAAAGGTGCTCAACATCACTCATCATCAAGGAAATGCAAATCAAATGCACAATGAGATGTTACATCACACCTGTTCGAATGGCTATTCTCAAAAAGACAAGAGATAACAAGTGTTGGCAATGATGTAGAAAAAGGGGAATCCTATGCACTATTGGTGGGCATGTAAACTGGTGCAGCCACTATGGAAAACACTATGGAGTTTCTTCAAAAAGCTAAAAATAGAACTACGATGTGAGCCAGCAGTTCCTCCCTTGGGTATTTACCCAAAGAAAATGAAAACACTAACTTGAAAAGATGCACCATCGTGATCATTCCAGCATTACTTACAGTAGCCAAGACATGGAAACAATGTATGTGTCCATCAATGGATGAATGGATAAAGAGGATGTGGCATATAAATACAATGGAATATTGTTCAGCCATAAAAAAGAAGGAAATCTTGCCATTTGCTACAACATGGATGGACCTTGAAGGCTAGAGTCTACTTTGGCTTGAACCCTAATTTTGGAACTGGTAGATATGCCTTCTTAAGCAAATTGCTTAGTCTCTGAGCTTATTTCTTTATTTGTAGAATGAGTCTATAATACCTCTCTTAAAGTATTCTGAAGATCAAATAAAAAGCCTGGGTAATAAGCCCTAATTCTGCTCAATCAGGTTAAGTTCCTTTCTTCTGTCTTCTCCCACGTGAGGATAGGTGAAATCATATCACTTTTTTAAAAATATTTTTTATTTCTAGGAGACAGAGACAGCGCGAGCAGGGGAGGGTCAGAGAGAGAGGGAGTCACAGACTGAAACAGGCTCCAGGCTCTGAGCTGGCAGTCAGCACAGAGCCCGACGCGGGGCTCGAACCCACGAACCGCGAGATCATGACCTAAGCGAAAGTCGGACGCTTAACCGACTAAGCCACCCAGGCGCCCCGAAATCATATCATTAATGTTGATTTAGCTCTACCCTACCTCATTCCAAGAAATATGCTACATTATGAGAGATACTCCGTAACTTTAAAGATAGTAACACAGCATTATATCAAGTTATTATTATATCAAGTTCCCAGCATTCTTAGCTTCCTGAGTCAACCTACATCAGGTGAATGTCACACCTTTGATGTCACACGCTCTTTGATCAGAAAAACCTGCATTCAGCTCTGCTGCTTACAACTGTGTAAACTTTTGCAAGTAGCTTGACCTATCTAAGCCTCAGTTGCCTCATCTAAAAGAAAGGGTTGCTATGAGGATTCATCAGGTAACTCACAGAAAGTGTTTGGTACACTGCCTGGTACGAAGGAAGCACTCGGATAGTATTCATTTTCAATAAGTACTAATGCTCAGTAAAACATTATTATTATTATTATATTATTATTATTATTGCTGTTGCCTCAGGACCCCCTATCAAAACAATGTAAAGCTGTTAGGAGGACAGTGAAATTGCACTAAGTGCTGAAAAATTATATAGCAAGCAGGCGGAGTCACACGTCTGGAAAAATCATCACAGTTATTACGCAAATTCATCTATTCTCTCCATTCCCGAGAAAATGACACCTTAATTAGGATTATCCATGGTTTGATCATTACCGTAAAGATTTGGGGGGAGTCCTTTAATATATTGCACTTAATTTCATCTTTAATATTATTTTTCTAATTTGCAGTTTCTGTAACCTGACAACTATATTTGCAATAGAGACCTTTGGAATGATTCCCAGGTAATGTCCGGCACCTAATCAGGCTTTAATGAGGGAAGTTGTAAAAGACAAGAGTGGCAGCTAAAAAAAAGGAAAAGTGTCTCCCCCATTCCTCTGGGACCCTAGTAGTCGTGCCCTATATGTGACATCCTAAAATTGTACGTATCAGTCATCCCAGAGATGCAGCAGGAAGGAATTTCTGAGGATTGTTACCGCGGCTTGGGTCCCATTTTGTTCCATCCCCCAGTGACCACTGGCTTCCCCTCAAACGTGTCTGTCAACCCCGACTAAGGGCCAGACTGTAGGCTGCAGCAGTGGAGACTGGGAGCAGACAGCGGCTGTGCCCCACTGACCCCAAGCCAGCCCTTGACTACTGGCCATCCTTCTCACGAATCCCGGAAACAGCTAGTGAAGGCGCTTTCCTGGACCCGACCTGAGTTTTCTAGGAGGGGAGAGAAAGAAGTCTTCATGCTCACACTGGGGTCGCAGATGACTTTCCTCCTCTATCCTGGGCCTCGTTTTTTGTAAAATGTTAAACAAAAACGGAAGACAAATGATTAAGTCACTTAATGGCCCTACTTCAGATATTACTGACTCCTTGATGTTTTGTTCCGATGGAAGATCAATACTGTGAATAACCTACACATGAGATAAGCCATGTGTTGTTTCGAAGCGGCTTTGGGAAACATGTGTAGCGTTTGGCAGTGACTTCCCTTCCTAATGAGGGTTAGATTGGTATGTTTGATTTAGATGAATATTAATAATGTATGTCCACCCAAGGATCCACCCTCAGAAGGTGGCGTTGGTGAGTTGGAGAGGAGAGAAGACAGGGAAGGAGGTCTTCACCTATTTGGCCCAGCTCACCTCCTGGTAGCTGGATTCTAGCAGCCAGAGGATGTGATGGAGCCCAAGGAACAGTCCATACGTTTTTGACCGCAGCTTAGCCTCTGTTAAACCCGAACCTTGAAGGGGGGCAGAGGAGAGTAGGGGTTAGCTGGTGGTGGACATTTCCTAGTGAGAAAGCACTTTTCATGAGCAAACAGTGGCTGAAGACCAGTCTGGGGGAGGCAGACCTTTAGTACTCTCTTGCCTTTTGGCCCCGTGCTTAACCACTTCCCCAAATTTTCCACTGGGCCCTTTGGAGTTGCTACCATTTAACCAGCAAACTCACCTAAACCCTCAAGCGTCCTCTGAGCTCCCCCTCTTAGCTCCCTCTATTCCCCGAGGACACTCCTTCACCCTCAGCCCTCTAGAGAGCTGGCTGTTTATTTTCCAATGACCCCCAGGCACCTCAGGGTGCCATTACCACTGCCAGATCATTATTCATCCCTGTTCTTCTAAAACAAAACTAAGAAATATGTTTTAGACACCCACCCTTTGAGGCTCATGGCATCTGCTGTACCTCCGTCGTTTCTGTGTTGCCACCTCATCCCCGACCTCCTCCCCGCTCACCGACGACCTCGGCCCTGCCTCGAGGTTTCCATCTCCACACCAGTCCCCACCAGCTGCGCCCACACAGCCAACCCTGCCAACATCATGGCCTTTCCTCATCCTCAGTGTCCCCTTCCTCTGTCATGTTTCCACCGTCCACTCCCGTGGTCACACCACGGACACTGGCATTGCTATCAGAAGAGTGTCTCTGCTTCCTGAAGCATCAGTCGGCTCAGACATCCTATTCTCGGACTTCCAGCTTGTTAATTCAGCTGTCTTATCACTACAGCTCTTCTTCGTTCTCATTGGGACCCTCCACTTCGGCTTTCAATGTCTCCTTTTTTATGTAGCGTTTTCTTACACTTCAATAACACTAGTATCCCCTTACCTTTCTGGAATTTGGCCCCCGCCCCCCACCTGGAAAGCCCCCAACTACCTGCTTCCTCTGTGATTACATGTGAGCAGCCAAGTATTGGTAAAGAAAGTGGCACAACAGGGTAGATTTATCACCAACTTCCTATAGGTCACCAACACCACCTGAGAACCTTCCTATCTTTCTTTGGTCAACCGATATCTCTGCTCTCCATAACAACCTTATGTAATTAGCTTCCTCCTTGGACCATCATCTGCCCTTAACAACCATCAGATGAGCTTGTCTCCACCATTACAGACAATTTAGAAGTCAACAGATGGGAACACTCCTCATTCCTGATTCCAAACATATAAACCGACAAGCACCTATATCCGTTCTCTCCTTTCTCCATCCTATTAAAGAAATTTTATTCCTCGTCTTTAAATGTAAATTCTTCAACCTGTGCTTTGAACCTTCATGTCCTGCTTTCTGAGGAAACTTCCAAATCAATTATTTCTTCTCTTTTTTATATATGAAACTTTCCCTCTCAACTAGATCTTCCTCATAGGCTTTTAATCACCCTCAGTGTTTTTTAAATTTAAATTAATTAATTAGTTAATTAATTAAATAGATAAAACTTGAGGGCACCTGCGTGGCTCAGTTGGTTGAGCATCCAACTCTTGATTTCAGCTCAGGTCATGATCTCACAGTTTGTGAGTTCCAGCCCCGCATCAGGCTCTGCGTGGACAGTGTGGAGCCTGCTTGAGATGCTTTCTCTACCTCTCTCTCTGCCCTTCTCCTTCACACAATCTCTCTCTCTCAAATAAATGAATGAATCAGTGAATGAATGAATGAATGAATGAATAACGCCTCAACCTCCTCTCCCCTCCAGCTACCATATTCTCTCCCCTCCTTTGTAAGACAACCTTCTCTAAAGTCTTGTCTACACTCAAGTCTTTATTTCCCTATATTTTATTCCTATTTCCCTAATCTACCCAATCTGCCTTCTTACCATTCCACCAATTACCTCTCCTTTGAATAGCTTTAGCCTACATTAAATCTGCCTGACATTTTCTTATATTTTCTACTTCTGTTGAAATTCTCACTTTGTTCATGTATTGTTTGCTCTCCTGACCTCAGCGAGCATCTTCATGACCACTATTTTGAACTCTTTATCAGGTAAATCACTTATCTTAATATTTCCTTAAGGTCTGTTTCTGGAGTTTTTGCTTCTTTTGTTTGGGACATATTTCTCTGTTTCTTCATTTCCATTGACTGTTGGTTTCTGACTTAGATAAAACAGCCACATTTCCCAGTCTTGAAGATTTGGTCGCGGGGAGGGAAATGAACCTTATTATTCAGCCCAGCCCTAACTGTTTGTCGTCTCAAGCCTTTGACTGTCCAAGATGCCATTTAGTTCTGCGTGTTTCCTAGTAGTTGAGGGTGGGACCTGTCAGCGTCCCAAAGAAGAGAACCTCAGTCAACACCTAGGTGCAAGCCGACTGGAAGCTGGACCCTCAGGCAGCAGCTTTTAAAGTATGCAGATAAACCTCTTTCAGGGTTTTAAGACTGGGAGATGGGTGTTCCTGTCCCTTCCCTCTGCAACAAGTCCGGGGTTAATCCCAGCTCAGTGGGGTTTGTTTGTTACAGCCCCATAGGACCAGGGAATGTAAGTTCTGCTGACCACCAGAGCCAGGTGAGAAAGGCTGTGTCCCCTGGACAGCAGCCATAGAAGCTGGAGCCACCAGTCATGTGTGGACGCTCCTTTCACAGAGATATGAGCATCCCAGGCCTAGCAGAGAGAGAACGTTAAGATGGCACCTGCCACGCTCCCCAGTCTCTGAAAAGGATTTCAGTCTGTCCCTTGATTTGTGCTCAGTCAGGAGCCTGAGCCTCAAACCATAGCTTTTAAGATGAGCAAATAGGCCTCCTTCATGGAAAGACTAGGAGATGGGCATTTCTATCTGCCGTCCCTGTGCTGGGGGTTGAGCGGGGGCTTAGCTCCTGTGGTGCTCAGGATCCCTTCTGTTGGCTGTAACCGTTGCGGGTCTCACAGACGCAAGCCCGGGTGGCCCTCAGAGCTAAGAGTTTAGGGGAACTTGTCCGTCGAGTTGGGACTCTAGATGTTGGGTCCAAACCCTTCATTCCTCAGGGAGAAGCTCCCGATTGTGCGTTGCTGCCCTGGGTGTGGGGTTTGTGGTAAGACTGTGTCCCAGTCTCTTCTACCCATTTCGATGCGGGTGGATTTTTTTCTCATTCACCCAATGTGTCGGTGTTGCTTGTGAGACCTAAATCTAACTGATTCCATTTTAGAATAAACCTCTGTCTTGAGAGTGAACTAGGCCCGAACCCAGTCCCAGGTTCTGCCCTTAGTTACTTCCCTAGCAACGGCAACAGCCAATCAGTTTAAAAGAGGCGCCTATGTCCCAAGACATTCCGGTTGGCAGTTTGCGGTCAGGCCAGATGGGCCGAGCCAATCGGGTACTGACAAGACAGCCTGTACCGATCAGGAGGCTGCCAAGCTGGAAGGCCCCAAATCCCACTGTGATCACAATAAAAAGCCCTGCGATCACGAGTTCGGGGCTCCATACCATCACCGCTGTGTCGGGGTGCGTTGGAGCCCCTGCTCAAGCTTGTAATAAAGACCCTTTTGTACTTGCATAGATGTCGGCTCCTCGGTGATCTCTGGGGACTTGCGAATCGGGCATAACATTGCTCAGCTAGTTTCTGGATTTCTTTTGGAGGGAACTTCCTTAGATAGCTGTGGCATGGGTGTGACGGCGGAAGGAGGTGAGTTCAAGAGCCTCTTATGTCACCATTTTGAACCCGAACCAGTCTGCACCGAACCTGGCATTTGTCATCCCTCATCTTACTTCCTCTTTCCATCAGTGTTGACTCTTTGACTCCTGTATTGCTTTATGGGTTTTTCCTAAATTCCTATCCCAGTCTCTCTCAAGTAAAGAGAGTCTCAACCTCCTTCACCAGCCGGTAAATGTTGACTTTCCCTAGGGCTCAGCCCTGGTCTCCTGAGCTTCTCACTCTGGCAAGCTCGGCCGCACTCATGGAGTCAGTAGGTATCTATATACACATGACTCCCAAATCATATCTCTGCTCTGTCCAGGGCCACATTCCCTTTACCTCTTCTCTTAGATGTCTCAAAGACTGGTGAAACTGGACATGTCCAAATATGATCTCATGATCTTACCACCCATTCCCTTACCCCATTCTTTGTCCCACT